GGAAAAGGAAAGTCAAAGCCAAAAACTGGTTCTCTGTCTGAAAAGCTTACTAAATAAACAAACTCCTAACAGTATAATAATCCCTCCTTTGGAAATGCAAATCAAAACCAAGTTATCACCTCACACCTACTAGAATGGCTGTTATAAAGACCAAGAGAAGGGAATGCTGGTGGGGCTGTGTAAGAAGAGGAACTTGGCTGGTCCATGACTGGTGGGAATGCAAACTGGTGCAACCATTATGGATAACAGTAGGCAGGTTCCTCAGAAACTAAAAATTCAACCACCATGTGATGCAACCATTCCATTTCTGGGTATATATGCAAAGGAAATGAAATCACTCTCTCTAAGAGCGGTCTGCACCCCATGTTCTCTGCAGCATTACTCATAATACAAAAGACAGGGAAACCAACTAAATGTCCATCAATGGATGAATGAATAAAGAATATGTGGCATAAGTACACAATGGAATACTATTTAGCCATTTTAAAAAAAGGAAATCCTGTTTGTGAGAAATGGATAGACTTTGAGGGCATTATGCTAAGTGAAATAAGTCAGAGAAAGATAAATAATGTGTGCTCTCACTTATATATGGAATCCGAAGACATCAAACTCATAGGAACACAGAACAGAATGGTGGTTGTCAGAAGTAGCAGGAAAAATAGAAAGATGTTGGTCAAAGGGCTAAACTTCGTTATAAGATGAATGAATTCTGGGGATCTAATGTGACAACAGTTAACAATACTGTATTGTATACTTGAAAGTTTGCTACCAGAGTAGAGCTTTAATGTTCTTACCATAAGAACAGCAAAATGGTAATTATGTAAGGTAAAGGATGTGTCAACTAACTTTACTGTGGTAAACACTTCACCACATATCAAATCACTGCATTGTATACCTTAAGCTTACACAATGTTGTATGTCAGTTATATCTCATAAAGCAGGGAGGAGGAAAAAAAACCACCCCTTGGAAGGTTCAAGCCTGCCGGTCAGAATATGTGGGAACCAGGATAGTTGAGAGTTGGTATCCTAATGTCCATAAAAGGATAAAAGAGAAAGGAGAGTTGGGAAGAAACTCATTCCAGTTAAGCTCAGAGCTGTAAAGAACTTCAATTTTCAGTTCTCTGTACAATGCTTGACACATACGTAAGTACCAGATTTGTAGATATCCTCATATAATAATACTCTGTGGTTCATAATGGGTCAGTTTGTCCATACTTTCTTGGAGCAGGAACTATTCAGTAGAGCTTTCTCCTTCATTCTCCTTTTTTTTTTTTTAATGTTTATTTATTCTTGAGAGAGAGAGAAACAGGGGATGAGCGGGAGAGGGGCAGAGACAGACACAGAATTCAAAGCAGGCTCCAGGCTCTGAGCTGTCAGCACAGAGCCCAACATGGGGCTCAAACTCACAGATCTCGAGATCATGACCTGAGCTGAAGTGAAACCAGTAACTGACTAAGCCACCCAGGGGCCCCTCTTTCAATCTCTTGATAAACTGTGACCTTCAGGAAAATGCAACTAAAAACAAAATCACTGTCTGCAAACCAAGGAAGCAACATGGAAGCTTGCCATCGATCCAGGGCTTCAACAAGGGCAAAGGAAGGGAAAACAGCAAGGAAAATACTGGAAAATACTAAAAACACCAACCTTGTGCCAGACTCCGTTGTGGGTTGCAAAGTTGTACTACCCACAAGGTGGTGAATCCCAAGCCATGAAATTAATATAAAGCCTGGTCCAAAACCACTGAAATGCCAGTGGTTTCCGCAGAACTAAATGTGAAACTGCTCAGCTGCGCTCCAGGGCTCCATAAGTCCTTCCACCAGAGAGAGAGAGAGAGAGAGCGCGCGCGCAAGCCCGTGCACGTGCACATGTGCAACATGGACCATGTGCAGGATGTGACTGAAAATGAGCAATTAAAAATTACACACATGAGGGCGCCTGGATGGCTCAGTCGGTTGAGCTCCAACGGTCATGATCATGATCATGAACGGTCATGATCTCGCAGTTTGTGAGTTCGAGCCCTGCATCAGGCTCTGTGCTGACAACTCAGAGCCTGGAGCCTGCTTCAGATTGTGTCTCCCTCTCTGTCTGATCCTCCCCCACTCATGCTCTGTTTCTCTCTCTCAAAAATAAATTAAAAACTTTTAAAAAAAAATTACACACATGAACATAGATCACCAGTCTATTCCACACTTAGTATATAATAGTGGAAGTAACAAAACAATCTAAAAGAGACTGAAATAAATTACTTTAAAATTATAAAGAAGATAAAAGGAGGATACTTTTATTTTTAAAATAACACAAGTATATATTTAAAAAAAAAACTGGTATAATTTGAATTAAAAAAAAAATAACCAGGGCACCTGGGTGGCTTAGTTGGTTAACCATCCGACTTAGGCTCATGATGTCACAGCTCCTGAGTTCGAGCCCTGCGTAGGGCTCTGTGCTGACAGATCAGAGCCTAAAACCTGCTTTGGATTCTGTGTCTCCATCTCTCTCTGGCCCTCCCTGACTTAGGCTCTGTCTGTCTCTCTCTCTCTCTCCGTCTCAAAAATAAACATTAAAAAAATAAAATAAAATAACCAAACACAAATTCTCAACTGAAAAATATAGTCACTAAAAATAAACAAGAATAGATTAAATACAGATTAAACAGCAAATTAAATACAGATGAGAAGATTTTAATGAACTGGAATAGGTCTAGTAAAAAGGGTTCTGGGGGCACCCAGGTGGCTCAGTTACTTAAGTGCCCAACTCTTGATTTGGGCTCAGGTCATGATCTCATGGTTCACGGGTTCGAGCCCCACATTGGGCTACACACTGACAGCATGTAACCTGCTTGGGATTCTTTTTCCCTTGCTCTCTGCCCCTCTCCCATCCCTCTGTTTCTCAAAATAAATAAATAAACTTAAAACAAAAAAGCTCTCTGAATGCAATGCAGAGACATAAAGAGAAATAATAAAAGGCATATGGCCAAGCAGCACTCCTATAAATCTACCAGAACAGCATTTGTAGGAATGTACAATGCATCCCAAACCAGAAAAACAACAAGCTTGAGACTTCATAGTGAAATTGTAAAACCTCAAAGATAGAAATAAAATCTAAAGGGCATCCAGAAAGAAAAAATTTGATAACGAAGAAAGAAATCACAACGAGGCAGATAGCATACTTCTGTAGGGGCTAGTCTCCACGGATGTGCCCCCACCATTCTTCCCTTCCCCAGGAGCACATGCTGCTTCTCACATCAAAGGCTGCTCCTACCCTTGCGCTGGGCCCTTTGAGTGTGCTGACCAATGGAATACAGCATAGGTGCCACCTGAGACATCTGAGAGCAGGCCTTCAAAGAACTGACAAATTATACTTCTGTCTTCTAGAAACTCTTGCTCTGGGACACCATCCCTCAAAACTCAGCCCCCGTGCTAGTTGGTGCCCAAGCCACACAGAGTAGCCTTGTGAATGAGAATGAAGGGCAACAATTAACAGCCCCAGGTGAGATCCCAACCACAGCCAGTGTCAGCTGACAGCCATGTATGTCCTCCTTGATGTTCCAGCTGAACTGAGTCCCCAGATAATTGCAGCCCCAGCCATCATCAAAAAGAGAAATGACCCAAATGATACCAGGCAACCTGGAATGGTAAGAAAGAACATAATGGCTTGTGTTTTAAACACTAAATTTTAAGGTGGTTTTAAATATCAATCAATATCTACAGTGTTTCTCAGTTGCAGTAACAGATTCCAGAAGACAATGGCAAAATATCTTCCAAGTGCTAAGGACAAATAACACTCAACCTAGATTTCTATAACCAACTATCTAGAATTAAGCCAAAAAATACATTCTTAGACAAACAGGGAAAGTTCACCACTTAACAATCTCTCGTGAAAAGAAATACTACAGAACACATGGATACAAGAAATAATTGTAAGTCATGAAAATTATAAATATGTTGTAAATCTAATAAGCCATGACTTGATAAAAATAATATATAACTACAATATTAAGTAGTATCTGATCTGGTTAAATACTGTAATTTGTCTGTTTTGGTGTTTCTGTTAATAAGTTTATTTATTTATTTAGAGAGAGAGAGCGAACGCATGAGTGCTGGAGGGGCAGAGAGAATCCCAAGCAGGCTGCACTGTCAGCACAGAGCCCAGCGTGAGGTCTGAACTCATGAACCATGAGATAATGACCTGAGCCTAAACCAGAGTCAGATAGTTAACCGACTGAGCCACCCAGGTGCCCCTGTTTTGATGTTTTGAATATTAAATGTAACACTAGCATATAAAAGATGTCCTAAATAGCCAACACAGCTGAAGGCATCTCAAGGACTTTATACTCACTATTAATTCTTCCCCTCCCCTTCCCCACCACCCCTCACACACAGTTCTCTCATCCCCCCTCACTTGAGAAGGTCTCAGCCACAGCCATCAAGAGAGACAGAAGAGAAACTAATAAAAAACAACAGAGAACAGCGAGGCAAGAGATCTCTCTACAGGCATTCAACCACCTGCAGCATTTGGCACCTACTTCTTTATTTTCATCTGCTTTGTCATAATCAAAACTCATGTCACTGATGTACAAACATGAATAACAATTTTTAACATTTAGGATCAAGTTATGACCAAAAGGCATCTTACCTAGATTTTAAGCAAGAAACTCTCATAAGCATATGAACTATTAATTTTTCCCCTATCTCATTTTTAATTTTTTTCTCAAGGAATAGCAAGTTTAAAAATATGTACTGCTTCATGAATTTCCATGTCATCCTTGTTCAGGGGCCATGCTAATCCTCTGTATTGTTCCAATTTTAGTATATGTGCTGCCCAAGCAAGCCCCTCCACCTCGTTCTTAACAAGCAAACCTTCAATCACCTAAAGTTTTCGGTAAAATTCCTAGTTTAAAGAGTAGAAGGAAAGTTCAGAGCTTCAATTGTCAGTGCACACAGAACTCAGTTATATTAGAAAATGATTAACCATTTTAAAGAAGACTATTAAGCACTACTTACTTTAACAGCAAATTTCTTTGACGCCATAGTTTACTGATTCCAGAGTAATTACAGACCTTTAATAGAAAAGAAAAAGTTGTAAGTAGGTATATAAAAATCTTTATATTTGATAATATAAAGGAGAAAGGATGGCTGAATAATCAAATATCAATAAGTATTTGCAATATAAATGTTTAGTTATGATTGGTCTTTAAAAGCTATTAAATTAGTAACTTAAAAACCACTAACAAAGGAAAGCACAGGCTCAGATGCATTCTACCAAACATTAAAGAATTAATATCATGGGGAGACTGGGTGGCTCAGTCAGTTAAGTGGCCGACTTCAGCTCAGGTCTTGATCTCACGTTGTGACTTCAAGCCCTGCAGCAAGCTCTGTGCTGACAGCTCAGAGCCTCGAGCCTGCTTCCAATTCTGTGTCTCCTTCTGTCTCTGACCCTTCCCCACGCACTCTGTGTGTCTCTCTCTCAAAAATAAATTAACATTTAAAAAAATTTTTTAAAAGAATATCAATGCTTCACAATTCTTTTTTAAAAAATACAAGCACAAGATGGCCATGTCTGGGTGGCTCAGTTGGTTAAGCATATAACTCTTGATTTCAGCTCAGGTCATGATTTCAAAGGTTCATGGGTTCGAACCCTATGTCAGGCTCTGTGCTGACAGTGCAGAGCCTACTTTGGATTCTCTGTCTCCCTCTCTTTCTGCGCCCCCACCTCTGTCTCAAAACTAAAAAAAAATTAACATTAAAGAACAAAACCACAAGAAAAATTTCTTAAATCATTTTAAGAGGTCAATATTATCCTGACACCAACACCAGAGAAATCACAAAAAAGGAAAACTACACACTAATATCCTTTATGAATAAAGACACAAAAATCCTCAACAAATATTACAAATCAAATCTAGTATATGGAGGATTATACACAATGTATAAACTTGGATTTATCCCAGGAATACAAGTTTGATTTAAAATCTAAAAATTAATCAATATAATCCATTATAAATAGAATATAAAAGAATCCAGATGGTATAAAATTTAAAAATTATCAAAACCAACACTCTTATTTAAAAAAAAAAAATCCACACACTAGTTAATAGAATACATCCTCAACTGATAAAGAGCATCTATGAAAGCCCACAGCTAAAATCATACCTGCTGGTGAAAGACTAATGATGAGGGTGGATTCTTGGATTTTTGGTCTCCTGCTCTCTCTGCCTCTCCCCCTGCTGTTTATTCTCTTTCTTACTTTCTCTCTCTCTCAAAAATAAGCATTTTTTAAATTTTTTAAAAAAAATTTTAAAAGAGAGTCAACTGTTTCTATACGACCCTTTACTGGGCTCAGCCAGGCAAATGCCCTCTCTCACCCCTGCAGCAAGAAATCTAGAGAATTACTTTCTGGAGAGGGTAAGGAAGAGGATCTCTGGTCTGGAAAACACCAGGCACAGCATGAAGGGCAGACTACCCTACTGAAAAAAGAAAATTAAAGGAAGATTTACAAACTTACTGATATCTTCTAACCCATACATCCCTTATGATGGTTAATTTTATATGTCAATTTATCTGAGTTATCTATGCCCAGATAACTACTAATAAGACATTATCCCTGGATATGTTTGTGAGGGTGTTTCTGGGATAAATTAGCATTTGAATTGGTGCACAGAGTAAAGCAGACAGGCCCCCCCAGTGTAGGTGGGCATCATTCAATCCATCGAAGGCCCACATGGAACAAAAATGTACAGGAAGAGTGAACTGGGACATTCATATTGAGCTGGGACACCCATATAGTCTCCTGCTCTCAGACTTAAGCACTCCCGGTTTGCAGGCCTTTGCGCGGAGAATGAATTACACCAGTGACTTTCCTGGTTCTCCAGCTGGTAGACGGCAGATCATGGGACTTCTCAGTCTCCACAATAGCACGGGCCAATTCCTATCATATTTATATACACCTTACACTGGTTTTGAGTCTCCAGAGAACCCTGACTCGTATACCCTCTATCCTGCCTCGGCTCTCCAAATAGGAGACTAAAACCTCCCCCTTCAAGGAACAGGACTAACCTGAAAGGCAGGATCTCTAAGTACTGACATCAGGGACTCCCCTAGGAAAAGCCTAGATAGATGGCTCTAAAGTGAAGCCCACACTCACAAGCCCCACATCTGTATGGAAAACTGATTTCCACCTTTTTATTCCCCCACTCTCAAATACATGCAAACAACCAGGAATCACTTGCTATCCAAGGAAAGACTCTTTCATGAAAGAAAACAAAACAAACAGAAAAAACAATTACTTGGCCAAAACCGAGACTATGCAGGGAAAGGGAACCATTTGTTAAGAAACTATAATTAATATCAGGGAAAAAGAAGATACTGCAACGAAAAAGCAATATATACAGTAACAAAAAATAGGGACTTTCAGAAAACAATTAAAATTATGAGAGCTGGAATAAAGAAACAACACGAATGCTGAAGGATCAAGTTCAGTAAGTCCTTCAAAAACTTCATCAAAAAATTTAAAAAGATGAAAAATAAGAGAGAACACATTAAAAATTAAAGAACCAGTACAGGAGGATCCATACATGGAAGCTGGGATGGTAACGTCTCATATTAGGGCATATATCACAGTAAAACATCAGGCACTGGGAACAAAAAATTAAAAAATTTAAATTCAAAAAAATTACCAACAGTGTGGGAGGTGGATAGAAGCGGTGGTAAGAAAATATTTGGCTCCAAACTGCTCAAACCAAATCCAGAGACCGAAAGACAATAGAGAAATATCTTCAAAATTCTGAAGAAAATTGTTTCCAACCTCCAATTGCATTTAAACAGGAGGGGGAGGGGGCATTTTTAGACATGCAAGGTCTTAAAAAAATTTAAATCCCCTGCGTCCTTTCTCAGAAAGCAACTAAAGATGTGCCTCACCCAAATGAGCAATTAAACAAGAAACAGGAAGATACAGGAAACAGGAAGGCCACGATGGGCAAAAGGCAGAGGAAATCCCAAGATCTGGTGAAAGCAGATCCCTGCCTGAGGTCCTGGCTGAATCCAGGAGAGAACCATCAGTGCAGGCTACAGCAGTTTACCAGTCTCCAGGAGATGCAGCTTTAAAAGTGTCTGCAAGCACACAAAATTAAGTTTAGACAACTGGTGGAGAATATAAGATTGAATTAGAACAGAAACATGGAAAGCTAGGCAACTGAATAATAACAAGGCAATTACTGATACTAGGGTAAACAAAAACTGCAAGAAAATAAAAAGAGTATTTCATATACAGCTCAATTACGACTAGCATTTATAGCCACGGTAACAAACACTGAATCGTGACTTAAACCATATTATGGTTACGACAATATTATGAGGATGGGAAATATATATATGTTTTTCTGTATTATATGGTAGGGGTATAGGCACTAAAAGCTCCTTTTAATGATAAGGGAATGTTTAGAAGCAAAGCCTAAAATCGATTTTAAAAAAAACAATAACAACCACCACCACCAACAGTAATAATACAGCAGAAATATAGTAAGTTAGCTACACGGACCCAATTGTTAAGTGCTAAACTTGGCTCCAACATGAAGACTAAGTTGAAGAGAGCTGCTCTCCAGGAAGGAATGAGGTGAAAAGGATGCCATAACTCACAAGCCTTGTACATGGAACTATTTGCCTGTTTAAATTGTGTGCACAGAAGCTTTTAGAGCAGCACTGGACAAGAGAAACAGAATGCAAGCCTCAGAAGTACTTTCCAGTTTTCTAGTAGAAGCAGTTAATAAAAAAGTAAAAGAGAAACAGAAGAAATTAACTTTAATAGTATTTTTATTTAACCTAAAAATCCAACACATTATCATTTCAGCACATAATCAATATAAAAATATTTACTGTCTTGGTGTTTAAGTCTTTGAAGTCAGGTGGATATTTTATGTTTCCAGCACATTCAGACGGGCCATATGACAAGTGTTTCAGACCTGTGGTTAGTAGCCACCATAATGGACAGTGCACTTTGAGAATGCTTGGGTTTTATAACAAGAGATGCACTTATTTATGTGTCCCAAATTCCCAATCTACAAAATAGGGATAGATATTATCGAAAGGATTAAATGGCACATGAAAACCCCAGTGCACTAGGCCCATAATGACTGTTAACAATTACTTAGTCAATGGTGATTGTTTTAATTTTTTTTAAAAGGTGATACTGTTTGATTCTACTTTTTTAATGGATAAAGACATCTTTATCCAAACCCCAATGATTTTAAGTATTCATTTCTATTCTCTGAATGATGTAATACAGGTGATTTAGAAAAATTTTGAAAGACCTTCACCTAGTAACTCCAATATGTTATCCCAAAAATAAGTTCCTAGAGAATCAGGAACATGTGTTTGAAACAACATTTATAAAGTCATCTTGAAAACTTTAGGTAGATCTTTATATTATTTAAGCCTGATAAACACAAAATCATTCCCCTTAAATATATTAAATTAGGTTTGAATAATTTCTGCTAAGAATTCTTAAGTGCTTCAGCTGATAGAGAAAAGGGAGAGAGTTTGTCAGCAAGTACCCAACCAAGCTGAAGAACGTGATCGAATTATTTTTTAATTGTACACTGGTTTTCGCACATGTCCTTCCTTTCCTGAAGGACAGATGGACCACACTGAAGGCTGGAGCAAGACTTTCAAACCATATCTGCTGTTAGATAGATTATAGGCCATGTTACAGTGAAGGTTACATTTTTCAACTCACACTAAGGTTCCAGTGCCCTTTTTTAAAGTACTTATTTTTATCTTTTTATTTTTATTAGTAAAGCAAGTGTAGCTGAATTCTTTTAAGGACTGGATTCTTCAAAATGTATCATTGAAGCTCCATCTCAAAAATATGACCTGTAGGAACCTAAGACTGAAAAGTATAGTTTTGTATAAAATAATAGTCTGCTAATGTAAAAATAGACCACATAACTAAAAGGAACTATATAATACAGTTTGCATATATGTTTTTCTTAACTCCCTTCACCTACTTCATATTTTTACCTTTTGCATATTTCCAATTCATATTTTAATATCATATGGCATTCTGCCTCTCAGTGTATATAGTTGTTTTCATTTGTTTCCACAAAGTTTGGAGGCTCCAAAATCACAACTTTAGGGCTAAGAGAGACCTTATGAACAATCTACCCAGCCCTGCCATCTATTCCCCTAAAAAATATACTTGTGAGATGAGACCAGGGTCTCACAGCTGAGGGTCAAGGGCGAGAGAAGAGTCTTGCCAACTCAGCCGAGGGCAAACTAAGATGATCTGTCATCTGCAGAACTGCCAAGATCGATTGCTAACTGGACTGTCAACCCACCCCACCCCCCTACAGACAAACACCACATTCCCAAACCTCCACTGCCCACAAAGGCACAAAATCCCAACAGAGTATGACTTCAAATAGAGCTACATGAGTGCTGGTTCTCTCCTGCTAATGGAAGGAAGGAAGGAACGCTATAGCTAAGGAAACACAGTCTGAATTAAATTTACCATTGTGCTATGTGACATGGCATATATCTTCATAAACAAAAAATAAAGTCCATCAACATTAAAGCTCATAACACATCTGGATAGCCAGTGCACAGACCTTAAGCCTGCATATCCACTGAAGTCATTCCAGATAAGGAAGATGTAGTTCTTTTGCTTCATTACATCATTAGAGACAAGTTCTAGAAATGAACTAAATGGTGAACTGAAGCAGTTTGCTAATTCCCAAGTACAGTAAAACAAACCATCCAGGTAGGAAGAGGTTCTCAAAGGTGAATGGCCCTCAGAGCACTGCCTGACACTAGAGGGCGCTCAAGAAATGTCTACTGAAAGAAGAAATACTCCAGATAATGGGAGCGGAGTCATTTATGCACCCATTTTATTTTTGCTGTTTTTAAAGAAATTTTCCGAAACGTATACTGAATCTTTACGACTTTCATAAAAAATGCCACATATTTAATATTTCTTTGATATTCAGAAGATAGCTTCTACCTATCAACACACTGGGCTTCTCTGAGCTGCTACTCAACAGTCGAGCCAGTGAGGTTTCAGGCAAGGCTCCCTTTCCCCCTGCAACTTAATCAGATAAGGCTAGAAACCCTAAGGGACCAAGTTTGTCAGGTTAATGGGATATTTTCCAAGCCATGCATGGATTTGCATGGACTTCAGTGTGAAGGTAACAGAATGGCCTACCTTAACTGTAGGGTTTCTGAAATGATGAAATGGTTGAGTCATGGTATACAGGATGGTACCCTCTGGGTTTGAGCCTCAGTATTTCACTCTTTCTGCCTCAGTAGGATAAGGCTGTTACACAGGCGGACTCTCAGGTCTCTTCCATTTCAAAACCTTTGCTTTGTGATCCAAAATCCAACAACAGTTCAAGGAACAAATACTACCAGTCTACAAATTCAAGAGGAAGAGGGAATCCCCTCCCCCCTCCACAATTCATGAAGCCCTGATAGCAAAGCCCAACAAAAGAAGTATAGGAAATGAAAATCACAGCCAATTCTACACGTGAACATAGAGGCAAGAAACCTGAACAGAAGCAACTGACTCTAACAACATATGAAAACTATACTAGAACCAAGTGAAGTTTATCAGAGGTGTGCGAGGTCAGTTTAACACTAGACAAATCACCATACTAAAAAATTAAAATAGGAAAAAAAAACCACAAGGTCATTTTAAGAGGAGCAGGAAAAAATAAAGAACATTAGGAATCTGAGAAAAATTTCTTAATTATAGGAGCACATGGGTGGCTCAGTCAGAAGAGCAGGCAACTCTTAATCACAGGATCATGAGTTTGAGCCCCACACTAGGTATAGGGAATACTAAAAATAAATAAACTGGGGTGCCTGGCTGGCTCAGTCAGTTAAGCGTCTGACTTTGGCTCAGATCAGATCTCATGGTTCATCAGTTTGAGCCCTGTGTCAGGCTCTGTGCTGACAGATCAGAGCTTGAAGCCTGCTTTGGATTCTGTGTCTCCCTCTCTCTCTGCCCCTCCCCTGCTCTCATTCTCTCTCTCTCCAAAATAAACAAACATTAAAACTTAAAAAAATTCAATATTTAAATACATAAACTGTTTTTAAATATTTTATTTATTTCTGAGGGGGGGAGAGAGAGAGACAGCGTGAGCAGGGGAGAGTGAGAGAGAGGGGGAGACACAGAGTCTGAAATAGGCTTCAGGCTCTGAGCTGTCAGCACAAAGTCCAACATGGGGCTTGAACCCACAAACTGTGAGATCATGACCTGAGCTGAAGCCGGATGCTTAACTGACTGAGCCACCCAGGTACCCCTAAATACATAAACTTTTAAAAAGTTCTTAATCATAAGAAAGCATCTACAAAAAATGTAGCAAACATGCTTTGTAATAAATCATTAAAATTAATTTCTTAGAAATAGGTAGAAAATGTAGATTTCAAAATATCTTTTATGAGCACCTCAGTGGCTTAGTCAGTTGAGCGTCCAACTCTTATTTTCACAGAGCCTCCTTAATTCTCTCTCTGTCTCTCTCTCTCTCCCTCACCCCCATCCTTGTCCCCTTCTCATGCTCTCTAAATAAAATTTTTTTTAAAAAGTAAAAAAATAGAATATATTTTAAACTAGCATCCCACAAATATAAAATATCTAGGAATACATCTAGGAAATGTGGAAGTCCTCCTCAAATTGCTCTTCCAACTTACTGCAGTTCTAAGCACAATTCTGAATAAGGAATCTGAGAAAGAGCAAAGAGGACTAAGATACTTGGAGGAGAGAAAAGAAGAAAAAACAAAGGAAGGAGTTTGTCTTACCAGATGCAGAAAAATTGCAACACTACAGCAAATAAAATAATATGTACTGGCAAAGGGGTAAATGGGCCAAAGGGACAGACCACACGGACTAGAAAGAAACAAACCCATCTGCTAATGGAAATGGATGATAGAAGAGGCACTGCACGTCAGTGGGAAACGAAGGGAGCATTCATTTAATACACTGTGGTGGATCAACGGTCTATCAATTCGAAAAGAGATGAAATTCACACAGTATTTCACACAACACACAAAACTCAATTACAGATGGACTAAAAACTCAAATGAAGAAAACCAGAACCTCTTACAGAAAGTTTTCAAGGACTCAAAGAATTTTTTTTTTAAGTTTACTTATTTATTTTAGGAGAGTAAGGGCAGAGAGAGAGGGAGAGAGAGAATCCCAAGAAGGCTCCATACTGTCAGCACACAGCCTGACATGGGGCTCCATCTCAAACTGGGAGAGATCATGACCTGAGTCAAAATCCCAAGTCAGATGCTTAACCAACTGAGCTACCCAGGTGCCCCTGAAGGAAGAGTCTTTAAACTGGACTCAACAAGCACAGACCATAAAGAAAAAAAAAATTGGTAGATCTGGCCATATGAAAATTAAAACTTGGGGCACCTGGGTGGCTCAGTCGGTTGAGCGTCCGACTTCAGCTCGGGTCATGATCTCACAGTTCGTGGGTTCGAGCCCCGTGTCGGGCTCTGTGCTGACAGCAAGCCCAGAGCCTGGAGCCTGTTTCAGATTCTGTGTCTCCCTCTCTCTCTGACCCTCCTTGCTCATGCTGTCCCCCTCTCTCTCTCAGAAGTAAATAAAAAAATTTAAAAAAAAAAAAAAAAGAAAATTAAAACTTCCCCACAGACTGATGGAAATAGTTGCAATTCACAAATCCAACAAGTCTTATAATTAGAACATATAAAGAACTCTCAAAACTCACAAGTAAAAAAACCACAATGCAGCCAGAAAATGGGCGAAAGACATGAACAGATATCTCACCAAAGAGGATATACAAGCAGGATGTCAAACAAGCACGTGAAAAGATGTTCAACATCATCAGCTCTCAGAGAAATGCAAATAAAACCCCAATAAGATATCACCACATAACCTACCAAAATGTCAAATAAAATGCCAACACCAAATGTTGATGAGGATGCAGAGAAAACAGATCTCTCATGACTGTAAAACTGGTACAGCCACAATGGAGGAGAGGTTTCTTATAATACTAAATATGCACTTACCATATGACTCAAAAACTCACTCCTGGAAATTATCCCCAGAGAAATGAAAACCTCGGCTCACATAAAAATCTGTATACATAAGTTTAAAAACTGTGGTTTAGTGTAAAATAAAAATACTAAGAAGACTAAAAAAAAAAATCTGTATACCAATGTGCGCAGCAAACTCTACTCATAATAACCCAAAACTAGAAACAACCCAGATGTCCTTCAATGGTGAATTGTTAAGCAGACTGTGGACTATCTATACCATGGGATATTACTCAGCAATAAAATGGAATGAACTCTTTTGTTGATACAGGTAACAACTTGGATGGATCTCAAGGGAATTATGCTGAGTGAAAAAAAGACAATCTGAAAAGGTTGTTTCATGTATTATTCCATGTATATAACATCCTTGAAATAACAAAATTATAGAAGCGAATAACAGATTAGAAGTTGCCAGGGATTAAAGATGTGGAAAAAGTATGTGGTTTTATACAAAGAGGTAGAAGAAGGAGCTGATGGCAATGGAGTTCTGTACCTTGACTGTGGTGTTGGTTACCTGAATACACACGTGATAAAATGGCACAGAACTAGATAAATACATGTAAAACTGCTTAAATGTAATAACTCTGGACTGTACCAATGTCAGTTCTCTGGCTTTAATGTTTACCAGGTACAGAGGACCCCCACCCTCTCTTTTCTGCCTGTGCATCCATAATTATCTCAAAATAAAACACTTACAAAAAATAAAACTTCTATTCATCAAAATACACCATAAAGACATGGGGGGGGAAGAAGAGTTGACAAACTGGGACAAGATATTTACAAAACATATAACCAGCAAAAAACGACAATCCAAAACTAAACAATCCAATAGAAAAATAGGCAAAGGTGGTACTCAGAGCAAGGCGTCCCTGTCTCCAGCCACATATGCAGGTCTGGCAAGGCAGTGGGAAATGAAGGTGGAAGTTTGCTGATCCCTTCTATTATTTATCCCTTCACAACCACCGTGCAACAACCAATCATGACTCTCTTACCTCCTCTGGGGAGATGGGAAGGGTACATCTCTCACTATTCTTTCATGAAAGCTGAAAAGCATGAAGTCTAAATAGAGAAAGACCATTACCAGGGAATCTGGAGAAAGCACACATTCTGCTCTCTTCTCTTACAGCAAGCACAGTGCCCATCATCTGGGACAGAACAGATGACAGTCAAAGGTGGATCCATCTGCCTCCCACATGAAGGAAAAATTATTACTTGGTGATGCCAGGAGGTTCCAGACCCCAAAGAGTTGGTTACCCTGAAAGTCCCCACAACCACAGCCTTTTAAAGTACCTCCTGTTTCCATCTGTACACTGCTTCATCCCCAAAGCCATCGCTAGAGGTAATTGAGCAGAACTGTGCGCTGGGATCTCCCACACTTTCACAAGCCCTCTGCCCACACCTGTACCCCACAGCTCAAGCAACTTCACAGCTTCAGTGCTCCCACACAGCCAACTCCATCATGTGTCCTTGAACATGCTGCTCCAACCATTCCCACCTTCACCCACACAGGCGGGAGAATTTCCTCACCCTCCTAAGAGGAGTTATCCTCTGAAACCCAACTCAGACACCACCTGCTCCTTGGAGGCCTCCATAAATCTCCAGAGTGAATAACTCTCTTCTCTGAGCAATATCTGCACCTTATACCACCACTACTTTCATACTTAGCTCAGCAAAGTACACATAACTCTAGTTCTCATTCTGTCTCCTGTGCCTGACATAAGGGTCCTGAGGACAAGGTCCATCCCTGTCTTGATACCTGGTGCAGGGCATCGGTATGCATCAGAAGTGTGCTGACATGACCCTATTGATGTTACTAAATAAGTGGCTACAGACTGTTATTTTTTCTACATTTATACCTATTCATTTAATGCATCCTTACTGTCCCCACATCCCAAATTCCACATTAAGCCTTCTTAAAAGGAGGTCAAAGCACCCTGGACCTATTTCAATACATAAATAACACTTAAGTTGAATGTATCACCAGCCTCCGTTGAAAGACTTGTAATATACATAAACTTGTAAAAAGAAGATCAAAGTGTTTCCTCTTGAAAATAATGGGCAACAGATCAGAAGTATTGCTGAAGTTTAGGCTATAAATGTGAGTTTTTCACTGCATAATTTTTTTAAAAAATACTGACATTCTAACATGCATTTGAATGGAAAAGATATCATTAGCCTCTGTATTCACTCAATGTTAAATCTGGGAACAAACAGGTTTTTCTAGACTGTTTTACTGATCATTAAAATTAGTAACACACACGCACACACAAAGCAAGTATGCAATTTAAGAAACTACTTTCCTGGGCCCTTAAAGTTGCCTCCAGGAGGAAGCAACAAGTTCAGTGCCTGGAGTTTAAAGCATAATGTTAAAAAAGTCTTTCTATCAGAGCTTCCAGTTCAAGTCCAAGTTCAGTGGAATTTTTATTTTAATTTGCCTGATTTCAAGATGTTCAGGACAATCTCCAAAAAGATCAATTTTCCAAATATCTGAAAACAATTTACATGAGTATGCCAAGAAGTTAAAGTATATTATAAACCTTCAAAATAATAGCTCATCTTCTATTCTGCATTCTTGAGCCGCGTTCCCTGGCCTGAGAATAGGCATTCTTTTCACGAAGAGGAGACTTTGAAAGAGTATGACCCCTCCAAAAATATGCATACATAAATGTCTTTCACAGAGAGGGAAAGATTCTAAGATTCCTAAGAAAATTAATTTGGGGAGGGAATGGAAGTAGATTAAACATTATCACATGATTGTCCTGTCATTTAAATACAAAGAAGAGATAAATGCTAATAAAGAAAGTCAGTGACCTTCTAGATTATTCTGTGGGAAAATCCAAGGCACTCTGAAATTCACATTTGTCTTCCTTTTTGAATTGTTGGCCTGTGTCATAAACCAAACAACTACTCCAGATTAAGAAGGCTCGAAATTAACTTTAAGGTTTCTAGTCTCTGGATTGCAAATTTTATCAAGAAAATTATTATACTTCCTTTTTTCATCTTACAAAGATTTCATTAACTATGGGAGCAGAAACAGAAAACAAAGGCCCAGAACTCCTGAAATTGTGAACAACTCACGAATTGGAAATAATTTCATTCTCTACTCCAACAATATAATTTTATCACTGAAACACAAACACAAACACACACACACACACACACACACACACACACACACACACATAGCAAAAACCAGTATCAAGAAAGATATCACAAGCTTTAACAAAATACCAAGGAAAACTGACAAATGAGCAAAGATGTTGGTGGTGACAACTTAGATAAAGCTTAAGGAGACAACCTCAGTGTAAGAAAGAATCAGCTTTTCCTATTACTCAAATGGTCATTCTGAATTCCAAAATCAGCTTTTAAAAGAGGAAAACAAAAACGAAAAAACAGGGAAGCTGTAACAGTGAAAAGTGGATAATGCAAGTGACAAAAATATAAGGGCTTTTTTCTTTTTGTCTTTAAATGTAGGTCAAATATTGAAATCCTCTACCAAAAAATAATTCCACAGAACAGTCCTACCTTTCAGTCACTCTACATCCTTAATCCAGTCAGTTAGCCCATGATCTGGGCCTCTCATTTCTTGCTATGCCCATAGAAACTCTTCACCGGGCCTGGCATGGGATGCTTCATTTATATGCAAGATCTAATTCTTAATACTTTGTCAGAAATATACACAGGCACCTGCTCATGGGGACAGTCATGGTCTTCAGGTTCTAGTAAAACAGACATGAATTCAAATCCTGCCTCTTCAAGTGATCTCAGACAAGCTACTCAATTCTTCTGTCTCCAATTTTCTTATCTATTAAGTGGGATAATAACGAGTGTCTATCTCCAGGGTCCTATGAGGATTACGTAAGATCTGATATGTAGTATTTGGCAGAGTTCCTTGTTCAGTCTCTGTTAACCATAATCATTATAAACATTGCAGGGCACAGACAGCTCCTAATCAATCCACTTCATAGTCCAAGCCCCACTCTGATAACTGTTTTCCCAGCACCTTCACAACACAAAATAACTTCTGATAATCATTAACATAATTGTCTTAAAATCTAATGTTTTTGATGTGAAAACCATAGACATGGAATACAGATCTTTAGTTGCTACCTGGGGGCGGGGGGAGAGGATTACTACAAGGGAGTAGCAGGAGGGAATTTGGGGGATGTGGGAGGGGGGGTGATGGAACTGCCCAGCATTCTGATTGACAGTGGTTACAAAACTCAGTGCACTCGTCGAAATTCATGAAAGTGTATACCAAAAAGAATGAATTTTACCATATGCAAATATAAAATATTTTTTAATTGCAAAACAAAAAATTCCAACTAGAGAAATCAAAATAGTGACACAAATGAAATTCAGTGTCTGAGACATTATAACAGAAATATTCTATATATTATCTTATAACTAACGTAAGTCAAATCCAATTTTAGTTACCAGCTCTGATTTATTCAAGCACAAAATGTCAATACTATAATAATCAGGAAGCACTGCTTTTCTATAACAGAAGCAAAGACTTTTTTAAAAAATATTTATTTATTTAGAGACAGAGCACAAGTGAGGAGGGGTGGCGAGAACGGGGGGGGGGGGGGGGGGGGGGNGGAGAGAATCCCAAGCAGGCTCCACACTCAGCGCAGAGCCTACAAACCGTGAGATCATAACCTGAGCCAAAATCAAGAGTCTGATCCTTAACTGACTCAGCCACCCAGGCGCCCCAGAAGCAAACTTTAGAAATGTACCTACACCAACACTAAATGAGCGGTATGCTCCATTTAGATCTCTACTTTGTTGCCTAATGAGTAGGTTTTTTAGTGTGCATCCATTATCGTTTTCAATCTCCAAAAAGTAATATACAAGTAGTAGGCTTTAAAGATTTAACACAGCTTAAAATAATTAGGCATGTACATATCAAGAGATACAATCACTAAAAAGTCAAGGCATGCATTTTGCATTTTAAAAAGGCAAATTTTTGACTCAGAAAACATTAATCCATAAACTACAAAATGCAAAGGTAAAAAAAATCCCAATACATACACATTTACACATTTTGCTAGTCATCTCCTGGTTTCAGCGTACATAAAAGGCATGGCCACCAAATCATTAGACTTTTTTTCCCCAATTCAAATAAGCTGAAGAAGAACAAAGCAATGTGAAAAACCTAAATGTCCTTCAACTATTGAATGTGTAAACAAATTACAGTACATCTAGCAAGATACTACCTAGCAATTAAAAAGAAATGAACTATTGATACTTGCAACAAAGAAGCCCCTCAATCATGAAGAGAAACCAGACACTCCCATAACTCCTATCAAAAAAGAGCATGTACTATATGATTCCTTTTAGATAAACTAGGAAATGCAAACTTATCTATAATAACAGAGAGCGGATGAGTGGTTGCCTGAAAGTTGCCAGAGAGATTATAAAACAGCAAACGGAAATTGGGGTGACTGATGGATATATTCATTACCTTGACTATGGTGATGGTTTTACTGGTATACACATGTCAAGCATATCGAACTATATACTTTAAATATGTGCAGATTACTGTATGACAATTACAGATATAACACGGTGATATTCCGGGTTCAGCCCCACACCATCACAAAATAGTGATTATCAAAATGAAAGAAGTCAAATAAATTTTTTGGTGCCCCAGTGCATATAAGACTGATGTTTAAGCTATACTAGTCTATTAAGTACATATCTAGTACATTGCTCCAAAAAAGCAATGCAACTAAAAAATGCTTTATTGCTAAAAACTGCTAATGATCACCTGAGCTTCCAGCAAGTTGAAATCACTGATCACATAGCACCATAACAAGTATAATGAAAACATCTGAAATTCTGAGAGAATTATCTAAATGTGACAGAGAAACATAAGGCAAACAAATGCTGTTAGAAAAATGGCACTAATAGACTTGCATAGCGCAGGGTGGTCCCGAACCTTCAACTTGCAAAAGCACAGTAAAGATATGCCTATATTCCTCAATAAGGCTGCTTAAAAAGAAAAAGACCATTAAAAAAATTCATCTTCCTAATATATTGTTTAGACCACCACCGTCTCTTCCAAACAGGTGAATGTAGAAAACTTATGGAACTTTTCCCCTTAGTGACTTCCATGCATGAACAAAACCTTAATAACCCAAAGATTTGATAAATTACAATGGTTAATATTCACATTGCTGTGATCACATGCCAGACCTTGTTTTAAGCACTTTTCTAATATTCACGTATCTAACCCTCACATCAACCCTATTTTACAGAGAAGACTTAAGTACAGAGAGCTATGTGATCTTCTCAAGGTCACACTGCTAGTAGTAGGTGGAGCAGCTAGGATTTGAACCCCCAGGGTGTGACTCTGAAGTTCATTTTTAAATTCATTACCCTGCCCACTATGCTTTACTGGCACACACAAGACAAGACACAATATGTGAACAACAAAAGCAATACATATTGCACTTAAAGAATATTTGCTCATACTCACAGAAGTATTTGCTACATTTTGAAAACTCACAGAAGGTTAAATTTAACACACACACACACACACACACACACACACACACACACACACACACACACTGGGGCACCTAAGTACTACTCAGTCTGTTGAGCATTGACTCTTGATTTCCCCTCAGGTCACGATCCCAGGGTCATGGGATCCAAGCCCTGTGTCGGGCTGCGCTCTGAGCTTGGAGCAAGATCCCTTACCCCTCTCCTTGCCTTGTGCACTCTAATAAAAAAAGAAAAAAATTAAGTAAATAAAAATATTTTTAAAAGAAAACTTCAATTCTTTTCCCAATTAATAGGTGGAAGAAAGACAAGAAAGACAGAAAGGCTGGACGACTTGCTGAGCACATAGAACAGTTCCTGGGAAGCTGGTTCACCACATTTTCAGTCCAATTCTCTCCAATGGGTTCAAATTCCTAATTATTTTAAGTAAATCTATCTAAGGGACAAAAACCTAAATATGAAAACCGTAAAAGTAATTTGCTGTTCTCTCAAATACCTTACTGGTTCCTAAATTCCATCCACAGAGTCTAAAACACTGCAGATAGGGACATCTGGGTGGTTCAGTTGGCTTAAGCGCCCGATTTCGGCTCAGGTCATGATCTCACAGATCGTGGGTTCGAGCCCCGCGTTGGGCTCTGTGCTGACAGCTAGCTCAGAGCCTGCAGCCTGTTTCAGATTCTGTATCTTCATCTCTCTCTGACCCTCTCCTGCTCACACTGTCTCTCTGAGAAATAAGTAAATAAATAAACATTAAAAAAATTTTTTTAATAAATAAATAAATAAAACTCTGCATAGAGTGGCCTGGAGTCTTTTTTTTTAAATGCTGTCCCCACCCACCCCCCCAGGTGACTTTCAGGAGCAGCTAGGATTGAGAATTCCTGAAACAAATGAGATTTAGATTTCTCATTTAAAAAAGACAGGAGAGCAAAATGCCATAAAATATTGGTAAAATATGGGCCAGGGTTTTCCAAGTCAATATTGAACTGCTGAATGCATCCAGGCTTTTGAATTCAACTTGTAATAAATTAAAAGTAAAAATATGCACAGAGGAAAAAAAATGTGCATACAGGTGTTGCCATGGCAACAGTTACATAATATACCAGCATGCAAGATTCTCAGCTTTTTAGAATGTTAAATTGGCATTCTGACATCAAACTGATGTACTGAAAGCAAAAGAACATATGTCACATGTCCACTGCATGTAAAATATGGAATAAACTAACAACATATTGTAAACTGTTTAAGACGCACAGGTTGAAAAGAGACAGCCTATATCTTTAGTTTGTGCCCTGAATTAATGCTCCTTGAACTTTAAGGAGCACTCTCTAGAAAAGGTTCTGATCCAGTGGGTCTGGAGTTCTGAAACCAACGTTCCTAAGAGACTCCCAGGTGATGCTTGTCAGTAGACCACACTTTGAGCAAGACCCTAAGTACCTTGAATATTGATCATCAAATCGGCCAACTGGCCTACAAATATGGTGGTGTCTAGGACCCAAGCAACAAGTGTCAATACAATTTATTCCTAGTATGGAAAAAAATTTTAAAACGTGAGGATACTGAGGAAGAAGCCAGGTGATATTTACTGTAAGAGTCTAGCAGCCGACGAACCATAGACTATTGTTACTTGCCACAACCTAGTAGCTGTCGGGGTCAGTTAGAATGTAAACTCCATGACAGAAAGGGGTTGTTTGGTTTACCGCAGAATCTCGATGACCTAGCACACATTAGGTACTCAGTAAATCCGATGACTGAATGGATGAACGGGCAGTATATACAAACACAATCCATCTTTATGTCACAACCTAAAAATGTCTGAGACTGTATTTGTACAAATGGTGCTCGGCATTCATAGTTTGATACAAATACCTGGCCCATTCACTGTACTCTATTTTGTCCCCCAATAAAAACCCAAAAAATTCTTCAGAGTAATACTTCCACTTTTAAGTCCAGGTTTCTTGCTCCTCTCTGTTAACAAGTCTTTAGCACGTTGAAAACAATGAAAAAAGGTGGAAGCACAGGGGAAAGAATTCAGAAAAGACTCAAAAATCAAAGAAAAAAAAAACCAGAGGGGGAAAGAAAATGGGCAAATAGTTCAGTGCAAGTGAAGGAATATTTCAGGTTGTCAGGAGTTCCATGTTCTTACCTATGATGGTGGCAGGGTTTGGGTTCGGGTTTTTATTAGTTTTGTTACTGTCCAGGGTCACTGGTGGAGTAGTACTTGGCTGAGCAAACTCAGGCTCCACAGGGAGCAGGCTCTGAAGCCCACCTTCAGATGCTTTGGGGGATCAAGCTTCCGCCTTACTTCCCCTTTCCCAGTGTCTCCCCGCGCGCAGGGAAAAAGCAGCCGCTGCCCAAACACAAAACGGCCTGGGCAGCCTCACGGTCGCCTTGAAGCCATACCAGGACTTAAGATGGCTGCGAAACACTGTGAAGGACCTGAATAGCGGGACGGATCTGCCCGAAAGAAAAATGGCTTCCTCCCGTTTCTCAAGAACAGCCCGAAACAAAAATGGCCACTATGGCTGGCTGTTCAGAGACTAGGAAGTCAGTGACTCTGATTGGCAGGTAACGAATCACCGTTACCCATAGTGCTAGACAGCGGAGGTGATGGAGAGAAAAATTAAACCCCGCGTTTTTGTGGTACAGGGCTTCTTGATACCAGGAAGTTAGTAGCATAAGAATTAGGTTATAAAAACGGTTGGAAAGTAAAGGCAGCTTTCACAATGCCGGATAAACTCTAAAATAGCGAGAAGCGTAATTCCCTCCTTAATTACTTTAAATGCTACAAGAGAGTGAAAGTTTTGCCTTCGAACTAAGAAGTAGGATAGGCAGATAGCGCCAAAATTACCCACTCTGTGGGGGGTACGAATCGGCAGACTCCCAACCGCCCCGTAAGCCTGTCCCTACTGAGGGCGGAGGGCAAAAGCGGTCTGAAGGCGGTCCGCTCGCACTGCGCATGTCCACTTTGCAGCGCGATCCGCGAAGCGGTGACGGTCTGTTCCTTTCCTCCCGGTTTCGGAGGCGCACGTAAAAGAAGGCGGGGAGCCGGCGCCGAAGACGAATCGCGCCTTGTGATTGGTCAAGTCTGGGAGAACGGAGGACTGCCACGAGCTGCTGACGACTGTGTCGTTCGTTCAATAAATGTCTCCCAAGCGCGAGCCACGACGCAGATACTGTGCCCTAACAAGTCCGTTTGATGTTATTTAAGTTCTTTAAACACATTTGCGGAGACTGAGACTGAATAAGCTCCGCCCCCGGGCTCTCCTCGGTCGGGGCCAATGGTTTCCTGGGCTGAGACGCTGACTAAAACCCGGAGACGCGGATTTTCAGCAGCGCACGCGCCAACCACGGAACTACGCATGCTCCGTCCCCCAGCCCCGAGCGCAGGTTGCCAGGACGCGCGGCGCCGGCTGCGTGCGTCTGTGCCACTGGGGCCAGCTGGCGGCGGCGGCCTAGAGGCTCAGCGGCTGGTGGGCAGGTGAGAGCGCTGGAACCTCAGGTGGAGAAAACCTGCTTTCTCCCTGGCCGAAGAGAGGGGAGGTGGGCTTGTTGGTGCCCCCTGCCCGCTCTCAGAAAGGTCACTGGTGTCCTCACTGAAGGATATTTGGGGGCGGGGACAAGGAGGTCGGCTCCTAAGAAAACTAAACACTTCCCCTTAAAATAGCCACAGGCAGTAGATACTTGTAGGTGGAGGGAATGTGAACGGCGAGGGTAGTGTGGCTAGAGTTCCGGGTGTAGACCCTCTTCCCCTCGCGTCTGCGCGGCCCCGCGGTGGAGTAAGATGGAAAAGGTGTTCCAGTGAAAGCACTGATTGTACCTGCGCTGGCACCTTCCGGCCGAAACCTGTGTGGCTCGTCGGTCGCTCCTTCGCAGGGAGAGGGCACAGCATGCCTGTGTCTGTCTGGGAGGTGAGGGCCACCCTGTGACGTGAAACTGAAGTCAGCACTGTTGGACAGCAGGGTTAGTGCCACCTGCGTGCAAGCAGAAGCAGGACTCCCAGGACTTTTGACCTTAGGGGGACGGAAGTCCTTTTGAGATGACGACGTTCTGGGTCATGTTCATCTTCTCCGATAGGACCATGCCCAAATTGTGCTTCAGAGGTTCTCAATTCAGGCAGTTTAGTCATTCATTAACCTCCTCAATTTATCTATTTATATATATACACCATATAAATGTATATTGTGTACGTGTATATACAATTGTGGTTGTATACACACAGGCGCGCTGAGTTAGCAGATGCAGCAGTGACCAAGACACATATTCCTTGATCACCTAGAGCTTATATTCTAGTGTTGGGAGAGGAAACCATAAACAAGGACACTAACAATGAACAGAGTGTTTCCAGATTATCCTAGGTTGGATTCCCAGCGAAAGAGATTTGTGGGCAGAACATTTATTAGGAAGAGTTTTTCTGGATCTTACCAAGGAAGAAAGGAAGCAGGAATGGGTGGACAGAAAAAGTTCAGCAGCAGTGCAGTCCCAAGGGAACTCTAGGTACTGGTTTGGCCCTTCAGAGGTTTTCCAAGTTGGAGGGAAGGGCCAAGTCTTTTTACCTGGGCAGTCATTGTATGCCTATAGCCCTGGAAAGAGTTTTCAGCCAAGTCTGTCTCGGAAGGGGTCTAACAACTGAGAGCGAGAAAGATTATCTGAATAGGTGATGTCTGAACTAAGCGCAAGAATGAGCCACCCTGTGTAGGACAAAAAGAGGAAGACGTTCTACTTTCTGTTACACACTGAGAATATAACGGAGAAATAACAAGTGGCTGCTGCCTCCTCAAATGGGTGGCTGTACCTGGTTTTTATAGATATTGACTCCCTGCTACTACTAAAGATGGAGTGCGTAAAAATAGATGGAAGATAGAAACAGAGGCCAGAAGTTTTGAGAAATTAGTCAAGTTGGTAAAGGCTTTTAATCTCTACAGGTTTGGTTGTTTTTTTCATGTGTGTGTTGTTTGTTTTTGCTCGTATACAGCATTTAATCATGTTTTATTTGGATTGTGCCTTTCTCTTCTCAGGTTTCTATTCTCTTTTGAGGACAGGAACCATGCTTTATTCAGTTTGGTAGTCCCACCACACTCACACCACGCCCCCACCCAGCCTTATGCCCTGCCAGCACCTAATAGACACTAAGAAAACATTCAATAAAATTAATCTCACACATACTTGAAGTGAACATTGATAGGCCCTAAGTGATATAAACAGTTTGGGGACCTGTCTTTACAATATTCCTCAGTTTTATAAATTATAACCAAGTGTTAGTTGAAATACTAGATGATAATATACAATTGCTTTGGTCAAACAGGAATCTCCAGACGTGCCTATTTTTGTTAATTCGTATTAAAGATAATATACTTCCAATAATAATAATAGTTGCCGTGAATTGAATGCTCCCCACATACTCGACCCTATACTAAGCAATAAATACATAAATACAAATATGTAGTGTTTTTTTTAATATAGCTGATACTACAGATTATTAAATTGAGGCAGGAGAGAAGTGATTTGTCCAAGATTATAACTAATTTGCAGTGGTTAGAATTGGATTCCTATCATTACTTAATGCCTTTGCTCTTAAGTAACCAACAACATTTCTGAAAATATAGTCCACTAGGACTCTCATATTTAATCCCTTGGCAACTCTATTAGCTGTTATCAGAGAAACAAATAAATTAGTCACCCTGTTTTTGCTGTTTTGCTCTGTGGTTAAATTTTCCTGTTTCCTTCAAAATTTGCTTTCCTGGCTTTCACTGTAGGAGTTTGCTACCTTTCCTTTAACCTCCTGGAATCTGATTTTAGATCCACCCTGATCTAATCAGAATAGCCCCAAAGATCTCAGAACCTTCTTCATGAGAATCAGAGTATTTTTATTCACCTCCAGACTAACTGAAATTGCCCAGAGAAGCGAGCCTCCTTTATGAGGACCACGGTCCCTTAGTCTGGGCAGTCATTCCAGTCCCTTCTTGTTCCTCCTACACTCTAGGTTGGCTCCATTCATTTTGAAGTAATTGAAATAAGAGTAATAGTCAATAATCAGAGTCCAGACTAAGTGCCAGGTATTGTGCTAACTTCACAACAACCTTGTAATATGGAAGCCCTTACACTCATTTTACAGATGATGTAACTGAGACTTAGTGAGGTTAGTGGCTCATCCAAGGTCACACCTAGTAGTAAAGTGTGGGGGTGGAGATGGAAAGCTAGGATTCCACATTTCATCCCCTTAATCACACTATAAACAGTGCATGCTTACTAAAATGATTAACTGTGCTCTACCTTCTGAAAACTGGTCGACAGGAACTAGATCCTGGTGGGTGTCTTATGCTGTCCTAAGGAATTTAGATTTCACCTTCTAATCAAAAATGCTTCTAAGCAAAGCCTAACAATCAGATGTGGGTTTTTTGCAAGACAGCTGTTAAGTGTGTGGAGTGTATTTAGTGAATAGTAAAGTAGAACAGTGATTCTCAGACTTTAACTTCAAAATTACCTAGAGAATATATATGTTAAAACACATTACTGGACCTCCCTAGAGTTTCTGATTTGGTAAGTCAGAGGAGGCCCACAGAATTTGCACTTCTCTTAAGTTCCCAGGTGATGCTAATGCTACTGGTGAGGGGACCACATTTTGAGAGCCACTGGATTATAAGCAAGAATGTCATGTGAAGTCATGAGGGTCAGGACTTTGACAGTGGGGAGAGGTTATATATAACCTGTCGGATCAAATGGCAGGGCTGGGTCACTGATAGAATGAGGAATATAAGAAGGGTAGAGACCACTATATACAGAATTGAATGGCTTAGCAGGTAATGTCTTTCGTGTTTTAGTTTTTTGTCAAAGCAGGAAATAGAGGTAAAACAACAGTTTGGAAATGAAAGAGGATTCATATTTATATGAGATGAGTTGAGACTGTGGGTACAGGGTAAAGGTGAAGAGTAGCAGTTGGCTATGTGGGTACAGGCTGGAGATGAAGGTGCAGTAGTTGTTAATGGATGCATTATAATGAAGCTTTGATGTGAATGAGACCACCCAGAAAATGAAAGGGGGGGGGAGACAACCAAGGACATATCTTTGATAAGGGTGAATAGGTGGATGAAGCCATTAAAGGAGACTGAGAAGGAACAGACTGGAGTCCCAAGTACTTAACGGAGTTTCCAGAGCACATCAAAATGCTTCAGAGATCAAGTAAGGGGAGAGATTGGCGATCTTTATGGTCAGAGCAGTTTCCATGGATGGTGTAACAAAAGCAGATTACTTGAGTTTGAAAATGAAAGTGGAAAGTGATTCTAGGAAAAGATTCCTTATTTGAAAGGAATCAGATTGTGTAGTCACTGGAAGGGAGACTGGTAAAGGACCCTTGCTTTAGGAATTTGTTTTTCGTTCTTTACAGTGGGTAACAATAGGTTTTCCTGTTATACCCAGATCGCAGTATCCTCACCGACCAGAGACCACCAGGGAGACCGAGTCACGTATGCAAAGGCAAAGGGCTCTATTACGGGCTTAAGCTCGGGCTCCCAGACTTCACCAGCATATGGGTCCGTGCTGAGAGCCTCGAACAAGGGCAGAATGGGGTTTTTATGGGGTTTGAGATGGGGGAGTTACAGAAGTTGTGACATGGGAACAGTGATCCAATCATAATAATTCAACATCATTGACAGCGGGTTTGACCATACACATTGTCTAGAGTATTCGTTACTTTTGGCGGGATCCAATTACAACATTTAGAGTACCTTTAAATTCAACCAATCACAGAGCGAGCCTAGGGTCTTGTTCGGCGACGAACAGGTTAACTTTAACATTAGGTAACAGGGTCCTATCTATAGTTTCTATCTCCAGGCCTCTCCCTTAGTAATGTGGAGGGTGGTCGCTGGACTTTCCTGATTGGGTGTTGCAAGGGTGGTTTCTCCTGCCTTGGGCAATGTGTAACTGCCTGATAGTTTTGGGAAAACTGAAACTCAGGCCTTCTAGTTCAGAGGGGAAACTTAAAGCCTGTCATGGAGTCAGTTTGGTTTAGACGTTTAGACTTGTGGCCTTACATTGCAAAGGGGGAAGACCCCCTTGTATCATAAGTGGGAGGTGGGAGATGTAAGAGAGGTAGGGGAGTTAGTTAGGGGTAGTCTCTTTTCCTGAAGAGACACCGGGAAAGAGGTTAAGATGAGAGTTAAGATGGGTGGGTCGGTTCTTACATGTGGGACAGGAAATTGAGGGTGCTAAAACGCAGTAGCCACAATTTCTTTTGGCCAATAAGTTAGCCGCATTAGAAATAGAACTTGCTGGAGTCCCGCTCCAGCCAGGTCCAGGGGTCCCTGAAGGATGGACGTTGTTGGCGAGGGAGGGATGAGAGAGGCACGAGATTCTTTCTGGTCACCAGCCAGGCCTCTCCACACTGTCTGAGACTCAACTTTATTTTTTGATTTAGTGTTTGGGGGAATGGCACACAAGTGGCATTCTGATGATAAATCCTTTTTATCAGTAAAAACTTTCGGGAACATTGACATGCAAAAGATGGGGAACAGCCCAGAAGTGTGATTCTAATGATAAATCCCTCCATCAGTAAAGGTTTTCCAGAACATTGATACGCAAAAGCATGGGGAAGAGCCCTTTACTATGGCATCAGCATAGTAAAGGCGAAAGTTACACTCATCATCGCTTAATGGGAGGTATTAAGAAAAACAGGTCTTTCTGGTAAGCAATATTGTTCCCATAACCACAAAAGAAGTTCCTTCATTAAGTTCCTTCACAAAGTGCAGTCAGCATATCAAAACCAGAATGAGTCACTCCTAATATCAATTAACAAGGTGAATTGGAGGTTCGTACTCAAGCTGAAATAATTGGGTGCAGGTGGATATCGGGGTCGCCATCTAACAGTAAGAGTCCATGCAACTTACCTTAACCTCATAAGGAGTTTTTTCAACCTATGAGTTCATAAACGGTTCCCAAAAAGAACTCTTGAAAATGATGACAATAGGGGCACCTGGATGACTTAGTCAGTTAAGCATCCAACTTCAGCTCAGGTCGTGATCTCATGGTTTGTGGGTTCGAGCCCCTCTCTGCTAGTAACGGAGCCTGTTTGCGATTCTCTCTCTCTCTGTCTCTCAAATAAACTTTCCAAAAAATTTTTGTTTAATTAAAAAAAGAAAAAAGTGAAGATAGAAATCACCATTTTAGGATTCAGAGCTCACCAGGGGTATCCCTAAGGGGCCAATTAACTGCACATTTAATCTGGAACAGTCTGGCTTTCAGCATGATACCCACTCCTCTTCCCTCTGCAACCTCAGCATCAAATGGCAGCTAGGTTTAAAAACAAAGGAGATGGAAAGGTTGTGTAAAGTCTATAAACAACACTACAATCTTTCTGATAAACCACAGCCAGCAATAAGCTGGTTTTCTCTTCCTTATTAGTCCCTAACCACTCCCTCACTGTTCACATTTTGGACTGTTCATAAAACTCCCATACAAAACTTGTGATGCTTTCACTGTATAATGTATGTATAGAGACAATGAACTCAGTAATGGGGAAGGTTAGCAGAGACCATAAAATATTCATACATAATACGTTGACCTTCACTGTCTTCTTTTTTTTTTTCTTAAGTTTTTTTTTTTTTATTTTGAGAGAGAGTGTGCGCATGGGCAAGTGGGAGAGGGACAGAGAGGCAGGGAAGGAGAGAATCCCAAGCAGGCTCCACGCTGTCAGCACAGAGCCCAATGTGGGGCTCAAACCCATGAAACCATGAGATCCTGACCTGAGCCAAAACCGAGCCTTCGCTTAACCCACTGAGCCACCCATGCCCCCCCACCTTCACCCTATTCTTGACTACTGATCAGCTGTGCTGTCAGCACTGTAGCTACTGGGTGAGGTCGAGCCAAACTTGAATGGAGGGAAGAGAGCCATGATAGGATTTTGCCAAATGGAAACTTTAGAACTCAGGTATGATCCATTCAATTCATCAAAAGCTGACAGTAATGACAAGATGAAAATTCAGCAAAATTGTTATTTTAGTTGATAAAAGGGGGGAAAAAGAAACTTGTTAATCTCTCTAGTGTGCCAGTTGAGTAAGCATGAAGACAGTACACAGTCCTTTCTTATGTGTACACAAAAAGTGCTAACATTTAGACTGCTATATTAAAAATGGGGTATTATTAGCATCAGTGATTGGGAGCTCAGAAATGAGGAATTCCCAGGCGACCTGGGTGGCTTAGTTGGTTAAGCATACGACTCTTGATTTTGGCTCAGGTCATGATCTCATGGTTGTGGGATAGAGCCCCACATTGTGCTCCATGCCAAGCATGGTGCCTGCTTAGGATTCTCTCTCCTATCTCTGACCCTCTCTCCCACTGGTATGCTTTTTCTCAAAATAAACCTTTAAAAAAGAAAGAAAGAGAAGGAGAGTTCCCAAATAACTATAGCCAACATTGTAAAAGAAATACAGTTCCAGTAAACTTCATCACTTGTCATAGTCACAAGGTCTGGGCTAATTAATTGTTTGGCATTATTCTGTCTAATGCCCTCTTCACGTTTAAATTACGTTCAGCGGAAGTTTTTAAAAATTACTATTTTTCAAATACTTTAAGCAGAGCAGCAATGAAAACCTCTGAAGAATCTACCTTTACACTGTGTCCAAAATACCAGCAGATGGCGCCCAGCAAGCCCAGTAGGCAAAATGCTAACCTTTTTCAGACTATTTCCTGCATCCAAGGTGTTGTAGGCCTAATTTAGTAATGGCCAGTAACAAAACTTGATGGTATTAGTGGACATGGTGCTACACAGAAAGAGTAAACTGATAGCTAGAGCCAGGCTGTCTAGGATTTTGTAAGAAGCTTAATTGCTTTTTTGTCCTTTGCCTTACTGTCCAGTTCAATCACCAAGAAACCTTCATTTAGCTTGTACTGTAACAAGCTTCAGGAAGCCTGTCTGTGGTCTTAGTGGTAAAAATTGAAGAGATAATAATCTCTGTAATACAAAGTAGGGGGAGGGAAAGCTGTTGCTCTAGACACAGTAATGCCTTGACTTTAAAGAATATTTGTACACTTCAGTAATATATTTCAGTGCTTTCTTTTCTTGGTATTTATATTTCTATGTACTCAGAAGATTACAGTATTTTCTTAAGGTAGAGATATAGCAGGCTTCTCCCCATTCTATGGTTCATTGATTCTTGCTATTCATTCTGTACTAAGAACTAAGCTAAAGAAAACTGAACTAAAATTAGCCTGGCTAATCTCAACTATTAGTAGGTCACAGATGCGTGTTTGGAGGATATAGACTCTAATTTTGGATAAGTTGGCACAAGACGACAGGCACAAGTTGTCACTTGTTAACCTCTTACATGCCTAACGTGAGAATCAGAAGAACATTCCAGGTTTAATGCATTAGGATACTTGACCTTCGTGACTCTTACAAGTATGCACGATTCACTCAGAATGTTCTTCTCAACCAGCATCAATCACTGGAAATTCTGATTATGCTATCCATTAAAAGTAATATGTCTTGATAACCTCATGTTCAGAGATGTTAGAATCACCCTAAGTACTGATGAGACTAGATATGAATGACATTATCTTCTAAACCTTTAATTGAAGGTATTTTGTGGACAAAAATATCACATTGGTCAACACAAGCCAGGTAACTTTGGTGCAGCCTCTGTCCCTCTACAGAGTAATCCTTGCTATAGTTCTTCCCTCACTACTCCAGACCACTGTGTTTTATTGTATCCTCAGATCTCAAAGGCATTTTGCACAGTAGCTTCACCATGAAATTTAATGATGCAGTTAATTGTGATTGACTTTCTCCAAAGACAGAACTTAAATATGTCAATGAAAGGTGCGGTCTCTAAAGGTCGCAGAAACTGTATAGAATATAAGAGCACTTTAGAACAGGAAAAGGCCATAAAATACAAAGTAGGCCATTGTTTTTTTCCATCTAGTAGTTTAAGTTTTGCAACAAAGTCCTTATATAATGTGAATTTGGACACTGTGAAAGAGAGCTTCTAATGCCGGAAATGATATATGTACATAGGCATAACTCTGAGCTTTCTGTTTATTTTTAATATACCCAGAACACTGAGATAGCTATTTACCTCATTAGCTATATTTTTTTAAATGTTTATTCATTTATTTTTGAGAAAACGAGCAAGCACATGTGAGCGGGGGAGGGGAGAGAGAGAGAATATCCCAAGCAGGCTTTGCAATGTGAACACAGAACTTAATACAGGGCTCAATCCCACAAACCCCAAGATCATGACCTCAGCCAAAATCAAGAGTCAGACACTTAACTGTCTGAGGCACCCCAGCAGTATATTTTAATCTTGACTTAAAAGAGAAAGAAGTAAAAGTTTTGTCCAGACATTTTTCTAATGGCATTCATACAAAATTATTATAACATAACAGATTGCATGTACCGAATCTCATCTACATGCAACTACACATAATTCTTATTATATCCTACAAATGATGAAGCAGTCCTTATTTTCGGTCTGTGCTCAGAAAGGAACTTGGAAAGTGGGTCCATTCATACCATTGCAAGTCTATAAGCTAATCACTAAAGCCTAATGAGTGTCCCTTTACTTATTATTTAAGTGTCCCTTAAAAAAGTATAAGAAGTCTTTAGAGGTTATCCAGACTTGAGTTCCCAAAGCCAACAGATCATCAGAAACAGACTTCCTGGGCCGCACTCCAGGCTTTACAAACCAAAGACAGAGGAAAGAAATCTGCTTTAATACAAACTACCTTTGTAACCCCACACAAGTTACTAGCTCCAATTTCTCCATGTAAACTGGGTAGACCCCTGTGGGGCAGAGTTATTAGTGATAAGGGTAACCACTAAAATCCTGTGCTTCAGGACATAAATGGAAATGGCATTAATTCATCCTAACTCAGAGTCCATGCCAAAATTCATTTGCTGCAATTAGAGTCTATGCATGACTGTCCCAATCTCCATTGAAACACTATCACTTACATGAGTCGGAATGCAGAATCTAAGTTCTTACTGCATATTTAAGGATTACTATTTAATTCTTCAGTTAAAATTCTGACTAATGTAATTACTTTTAAATCTAACTTTACTGTGGCTCCGAGAAAGTATAATTAATTGTAAAAGAAAACGATATCTATGCATGAGCATTTCCAAAGATTTATAGAACTTTACTAGCAGGTAATGGTGGCTCCTTTACAATCTTTGACTAAAGGTTTGTATTGCTTTATAAGTTTCTCAAGCCTGACTTCTTGCTATCCCTTTGAGCCTACAACATACCCTCTTTAGTTAATTAACAGTACACTTTATTATACCTAAAAATGTTTAACAGTCTACTTTTTTTAGAGTGCAATATTCTACTTTTGGTGGTTCATAGATATAACTTGAGGGAGTTGTTTTGTGGGCCTTTTCTCAGGTGCACTGATGCTGAAGTACTATGAGTTTTCAGAACTTCTGGAGAGACTACAAAGTTCTGGTTGTTATGGTACCTTTAGTCGGTCTCATACATCTGGGATGGCACAGAATCAAAAGCAGCCCTGTTTTCCAAATGCCTAATAAGGACGACGTTTCTGAGCCAGATAGTCCAGCACTTGGAAGTCCTCAGAAGAGTCACATCCACGGGAAATAGCAGGCTTGGAATCTTCAGGTAGGTTTGATTTAATCTAGTCAACCAAATGGTAGAGGTTCCAACAATGGGAAACATAATCTTTAAAAAAAGGTACAGAGCTCTGGCAAGAAAAAGCTTAAGTTAGTAAGTTACATACCTATTGTTTTTCGTATGACCCACTGTCAAAATATTAATTCTGTAGTTTCTTCTAGGAAAGTTTGTTCCATAGAGACCTTTGACACTTGCCTGGCAGAGTCATTTGGATGAAAGGAGAAAGGGCAGGCAGTCCACCACTTGTCCTGTCCTTTTCACTAACAGTGTCACCAGGATCAAGAATGTATCGAAAGAGCAGTTGTCTACTTGCCATAAATCCAACCCAGAGCATACAGATCTGTAACTTGCAAAAGTTCTCTCCTTTATTATTCTGTTTCTTTCCAAGGCAAGTAAAACTAATTGTATTCCTTCCTTCTTTATTTTTATTATCTTTTAATAAAGTTTTTATTTTCATTTATTTATTTAGAGAGAGAGCGAGCAGGCTGGGGAATGATGGGGGGTAGGGAGGGGGAAATCCCAAGCAGGCTCCGCACTGACAGCATGAGCCCAACATATGAGGCTCAATCCCACAAACCATGACATCATGACCTAAGTCGAAATCAAGAGTTGGGAGCTTAACCAGCTGAGCTATTGAAACACTACTCATTCCTTCTTTAGTATCTAATATTTTAGCTTCAAAATAATGTTACTTTTGAGAGTCACTGAAATAAGAGGATATAGTTACATAATTCAAGATTATAATCTCTTAATATAATTCCAAAATCCAAAAACTTCTAAAACCAGAAGGTTTTGTTATAACTCCTTTGGTAGCAAAACTTGATCTTAACTGACATGAGGCAATTTACAGTCTTTATTCCACTCAATATGATTATTTAGTTTCACTCCAGGAATACTGTTGTGTTTGATTATAAGCATTATATTATGATTATGTTGCTTATGGGTATTAAACACTATATTATTTTGATTATGGGTGCTAGACACTATATTATTTTTCTAAAATTCAAGAACCTCTGAATTATGAAACTGATCTGGCTGCAGATAGAGAACTGTGGCCCTATAATTGTGGACCATTTTCTATCTTAATATATTTTTTGACCATCAGATGTGTAATGTGGTTTAAATTTTGGCATAAGATAGGTCAATTTAAGGTCTTTTCCCTATAGAAGGAAAACCTCAATATGATCTTCCACTTTCTTAAGAGGTCTGTAATTTTGACTTCTAATAAAACTGTGATATAATTTCTGATTACATCATTTTATTATTTTTGGTTGTTGTTGGCTTCATGCCCAGTGAAGAGGTCAATGCAGGGCTTGAACTCATGACCCTGAGCTGAAGACCTAAGCTGAGATCAAGAATCAGACTCTCAACTGGCTTAGCTACCCAGGTGCCGCCAAAATTTTCATTATTTTAAGTCAAGACTTTTTTAAAAAATTTTTAATGTTTTATTTATTTCTGAGAGAGAGAGAGGCAGCGTGAGCAGGGGAGGGTCAGAGAGAGAAGGAGAAACAGAATCGGAAGCAGGCTTCAGTCTCTGAGCTAGCTGTCAGCTATGCTCGAATCCACAAACCGTGAGATCATGACCTGACCCGAAGTCAGACGCTTAGCCGACTGAGCCACCCAGGTGCCTCACAAGATTTTATTTTTAAATGCTCATAAAGAGAAAGAGAAGGGGTAGCGTAAAGTAATAGACAATTATTTAATACGACAGGTAATAAAATATCAGAAGCTTAATGACAAAAGAGTAACCTTAAGACATTCTGTGTAAGATTTGTATTTTTAAAGGGATGTAGATTTGTTTTTATAAAAGGGAGTTTTAGGAGACAGGAGTAGGGAGTTGAGTTTATTAGATGCTTGATTTTTATCTCTAAACTCTTCTAGACTATAACGAGATCATTAGAGAGAAAGAGAGATAGAATGTGTGTGTGTGTGCGTGTATGTGTGGAGAGAAGTAGAGAATATAGTGTGTGTATATTACTTATGATATCATGACATCATTTTTTTCCTTTAATTCTTGTCATAAGATTTTGGGGATCTGCAATAGCCAAACTGAAAAAAAAAGAAAGTAGTTTCTCCTTCTGTGAAAAGAACTACAAGGAATGTTATTAAGTGAGGTATTCTTAAAGGGAAAGTAGAGTTAAGAAAAGATATTTCCTCTAAAACGTTAAGGTAAATTTAGTAAGGGGGCACCTGTGTGGCTCAGTCGGTTAAGTGTCAGACTTTGGCTCGGGTCATGATCTCACGGTTCGTGGGTTCAAGCTCCACATTGGGCTCTGTGCTGACAGCTAGCTCAGAGCCTGGAGCCTGCTTCGGATTGTGTGTCTCCCTCTCTCTCTGACCCTCCCCTGCTCACGCTGTCTCTCTCTCTCTCAGAAATAAATAAAAAAACATTAAGGGGGGAAAAATAATAAATAAAGTGAGAGATGTGGATATCGGTGCTGCGGTAGTTAGAAGTTTCAGAGAGACCAACAATGCCAGTCAAGCAAGCAGAAACAGATAGGAAACAGGTTTAGGGTGAGCAAATGTTAAAACCAGATTTAGAGGCACATGGCTGGCTTAGTTGGTAGAGCATGCAACTCTTGAACTTGGGGTTATGGGTTTGAGCCCCATGTTGGGCATAGAGATAACCTAAAACAAAGAAAAGAAAAACAGATTTAGGACAAATTAAACACTGATTCTATCAAAATGTGCTGTTATTTGTCCCATATTATTGTTTAATTTCTACTTTTATTATAGAAAACTGCATACATCCCCCCAAAAAGAGAATGGTATATTCAACTCTACAGCATCCATCCAGCCTTAACACTTATCAATATTTTGCCAGTCTTCTTTTATCTGTCCTTCCTTCTTCACCTGCTTTTTGCTCTTTTAAATATTTTAAAGCAAATCCCAAGCTTCAGTGTGTATCTTTAACGTTAAAAGTAAATACACACACAACCACAAGTGCGTGTGGTTTTCACACTAAAAAAATTAATGGTCACTCTTCACTACCGTTGGAAACCCAGGGCCACATTCAGTTTCCCAAACTTATCTTTTAAAAAAATCTCATTTTACAGGTGGTTTGTTGGAATTAGAATTCAGATAAGGTCCACACATTGCATTTGATAGATATGTCTCTTTTCAGCTACTACATTTCCCTTCCCAGTCGGTCTCTTTTTGAATGTCCCACTTTCTGAATTTGGTTGACTGAGTCTTCATTTTGTCATTTCACATGTTTGTCATTCTCCCATACCTTCTATAATCTGGTAGTTAGATCAGAAGACCTGCTTTTACTTTCTTTTTTTTTTTTCCTTTGAAAAAGAATACTTCATAGATGTGCTATGGTATACATCGTAGTAAATTACATGGTTTTACATTAATGTCTGATCCACTTTCAGTGTTGCTGTAAACACTGTAAAATCTATTGTAAAATCTATTGTAAGATCCATTGTAAAATCTATTATAAAATTTATTTGTGGGGCACCTAGGTGGCTCAGTCGGTTGGGCGTCTGACTTCGGCTCAGGTCATAATCTCATGGTTCATGGGTTCAAGCCCCGCATCGGGCTCTGTGCGGATAGCTGAGAGCCTGGAGCCTGTTTCTGATTCTGTGTCTCCCTCTCTCTCTGACCCTCCCCTGCTCACGCTGCTTCTGTCTCTCAGAAATAAAACATTTAAAAAATTTTTTAATAAATAAAATTTAAAAAAAATAAAATTTGTGATTATTGCTCTAATCTAGGAATTGGCAAACTTTTTTCTATAAATGACCAAATAGTAAATATTTTAGGCTTTGTAGACCATACAGTCTCTGTTTCAACTATTCAGCTTTCTATTGTAGCACAAAAGCATTCATACATGATACATGAGCATTAGCCAGTAAGACTTTATTTACAAAAACAGACAGTGGGCTAGATGTGGCCCGGGGCTGTCATTTGCCAACCACCATGATAGTCTAATCCATGATTTCCTTAGGGGTTGCAAAATGTTGTTGCTCAAATTCTATCATTTCTTCTCCATTTATGAGCTGGAACAACTTTCCCTCATCAACTATTCAGTTATCCCTCTAAATGCATTTTATCAGGAAAAGCAAGATAAATGCTTTTATTTCTGTCTATCAGTTTTTATAAAAGTAATTGTGCCCTAACAGCAATGAGTGTTTTTGTTTTTGATGACAATATGAATTCATGAGTTTGCATATTATTTGAATTATCTCAAGCTATTACTATCAATATTCTTTTTAATAGTCAAATTGTACCGTCTTAGATGTCCTCCATGTTGACTCCTAAGTCTATTTTTCTCTTTTGCACTTTAATATGAACCAAGCATATTACTCTTAGGAAAAAAAAAAAAAACGTCCTCAGTTCATCTTGTATATTTCTTGCCTCAGACCTAGAATCAGCCATCTCTCCCAGGAACCTTGATGGGAGAAAATTTTACCTGTTTGTAGCTCTTTAAATTATATTTTATAGTGTATGTCTAAGAATATAGTCACATAAGCTTTATTATTATTTAAATTATCTGTTACTGCAAAAGCCCACCTGGCAGACCTATGCATCCAGGAAGTCAGGGCCATTCATGTGATGGTAGCCTTTGGAAACATGGGTCATAGTGTCAGGAGAACAAGTTTTAATTGCTCTAAACTGATACTTCCAACACATATTCTATAAGCCAGCCCACTGTTTTGTTCATTTTCTTTCCGTTGTACCTTGTTTTGTCTGGATTTAGACTCACAAGTCAGCAAGTTTTGACATCCTAAAAATGATTTGGGAGTCACCAGTACTTTCAATGATTTCTTCTTTGATTTTGTAGATTTTTATAGAGACACTAGCCAAAAGATGTGGTTACTGGTCTCACTACTCAAGACTATTAGAGATGCTGACATGGCATGCTACTTTTGAAATGTTGCATGTCGCTGTTATGTACTGAAATATTTTTTTAACTGGAGAAATCCTTTGATCGCAGCTTCCATTATGATTTGTGTTTTGGTGGGAGTGTGTGTTGCAACATGTAAAATAATGTATGGAAGTCACTTCACTAAGGTTTTGTTTAAATGTATGTCACAGATTTTGCTGAATCTAAAATAACCATTGAAATAATATTTAAGTACCTTGGCTGTTTCTGGCATAAGATGAAAGATTTTTTCCCTCGTCTTACAAAAAAGGATAACTGTAACTTTATAACAGGGAAAAAACTACCCATCATTGCCTTCTCTTTATTTGGTCCCAGTTGCCATGGTTACAAGTCCGTTAAATGGGGAGGAGTGGTAACCGAAATAACACTGAATAACACCCCCTCCTCCTCTTCACCTCTTCTTTGCACATCTTCACACCACCGTTTTGGCCTGTCGCACACTGTGCCATAGTCTACTTCAGGTAGTACTGTAGTGTGGTAGTTGAATTAAGTTTTATTTATGCTAAATACGGTCCAAGTGATTAGCGTAATTAGCATATTCCTGAAAATAATAATTGGCTGAACCTTCACCTTGAAAGCACCAAGCCTCAACAGACAAGGTCCATGACCTGAGATTTTTTATTTTTTCCACATGTTATTGAAGTGTCAGGATTTTATGCCTCAAGGCATATGCTATTTATTTACAATCTTGTTAAGGAAACTAGTACAAGTGCAAGTACACTTGTTACAACATTTTATGATATTCAGACCCTTTGAGATCAAATTGTAGATCAGATCGTGTCTTTCTTTATCAAACAGCATATCCTCTGGTTTTTGCACATCTTGTCATTAACCAAAGTCTTGTAGAAGGTTAGTTGTAGGGCATCAAAACTGACAATCATTGATTGATAGACTAAAACTACAGAAAATTGGCTCTGACTTTAGTCAAACATTGAAAACATGGTTTATCCTTTGGTCCAGTGTGCTGTAAAGATTTATACAGCTAGAGCTAGACTGTACATTAAAAAGTGGGTCTACATTTGGGAGACTTAATAGGCATCATATTTCATAATTATAAGCAGGATTTGATATAAGTGTATCTTTGTTCAGACCTAAGGTTTCCAAAGTAGTAGAAAAAACAACATTAAATCTTGATGTAAGAGAATAAAAACACTTGGGGCTCTTTTTTTTTTTAAGACTCAGAGTTTTATAATGAGTTTCATAATGTAGCATTTCTTTTCTAGAAGCATGTCATACTCAAATAACTACTGTAAGCTTTCTAGCTATGTTGTTCTGCATCCAAAAATCATTCAAATGTCAGTACTTTTTCTTGGAGGGATTCATTGGGGAACAAAGGAGTGAGTGCTTAGTCTAAGTGGATTTACAGTTTTCATTTTCTTGAGGCTTATGCCAGTTGGTAATTCCTTTTTCTAAAGAGGAAACAGAGTGTCAAAATAGTAAACTGCATCCTATTAAATGTTTTGGAATTATTTCTCTAAAACGTTTTACTTTTATTTCTTATAGAAAGAAGCATCTTTGAATCTGAGCTTGATATTGAAAGAAGAGATGATAAACACCAGCTGGATTAGAAAGAACTGGCTTCTTGTAGCTGGGGTGTCTTTCATAGGTGTCCATCTTGGAACATACTTTATCCAGAGGGCTGCAAAATAATCTGTGAAATCTCAGTCTAGAGGCAAACAAATGAGTACTGAAGAATGAAGTAACAATAAATATTTGGAATTACCACTATGTCATTAAGTCCTTCCATGCTGATAAGCTTCATAAACCTGGAGCTACTAATTTTGTAGCCACAGTGCCACATATTCAAGATTTCCATTCCTGAAGAATATTTTTTTTTCCTAAATGTCAAAACCCATGACAATGCGATAAACAGAAAATAAAATAAAATTGCCAATTACCACCTAAAGTAAGATGTCTCGTTTAGAAGCCAAAAAGCCATCGTTGTGTAAAAGCGAACCACTGACAAATGAGAGAGTCAGGGCCACACTTTGTGTCTTGAAAGGCATCCTAACCTCAAGCTATGGCCCTTCAGGTAGGCTGAAGCAGCTGCACAACGGCCTTGGGGGCTGTGTATGCACAACCTCACAGTCGTCAGCCCTGCTCTCTAACCTTTCCGTCACTCATCCCATCTTAAAGATCCTGACAACATCCGTGCAGAATCATGTGTCGTGCCTCAGTGACTGTGGCTTATTCACAGCCATTCTTTGCTGCAATCTGATTGAAAATATTCAGAGAATAGGCTTGAAACCCACCACTGTTATCAAATTAAATAAGCAACTTTTGAGCCTCTGCACCAGCTACCTTCAGTCTGAGTTCTGTGGTTGTCGAATTCGAGTCGACTTCAGTAGTACTCAGACCCTCCTTTGCCTGGTGCGCAGTATAGTAGCAAGTAAACCTGCCTGCATGCTCACCAGACAGGAAATAGACCATATCAGTGCTTTGATTCTGAGAGCCTTTTTGCTTACAATTCCAGAAAACAGCAAAGACCGCCTCATTTTAGGAGAGAGTATAATTGTGCCTTTAAAAGGTCAAAGAGTTACAGATTCTACTGTATTGCCTGGAATACTTGTTGAAATGTCAGAAGTTCAATTGATGAAGATCTTACCAATCAAAAAGACAGATGCCTTCAAGGTGGCACTCTTCTGTGCGTCTTTATCTGGAGATTTCCCTGATACTGGAGAAGGAACCATAGTGGTCAATTCTGGAGTTTCTCTTGAAAATGCAGTCCTGGACCAGTTGCTTAACCTAGGAAGGCAGCTAGTTAGCGATCACGTAGATCTGGTCATATGCCAAAAAGTTGTGCACCCATCTTTGAAACAGTTTCTCAGTACACATCACATGATTGCTATAGACAGAGTTGGAGCGGCTCTCATGGAAGCCCTGAGTAAAGTGACAGGTAAAAAGCACCTTCAGCCTTTGCATCTTACAGTTAATAGATTGCACTTTTTTTGAGCAGAGACATTCTTGGTGTGCGTCACTGTGAACATCTTGAAAAATTTTAGAAGCCGCCAACCTCACACCATATGTTATCATTTCTGGCAGCAAAGGTTTCTCAAAAGGATATCCTATAATGTTCACTTACAGAAAGTTGAGTGATTATGGCTATTTCTATGTATTTTCCAGCCCCCAAAAGGACAACAGAGTCTGTTACAACCTAGAACTATTAAGTCCCCAGGTTATCTTAGAGTACTGAGAAGTTTAACAGCCTCATAATCATTAGGTCTTTCATACTTCACACAAAAGTCTTCTTGAATTTTACAAACCTCTTAAGTCACATTATATTTAGAAAGTAGTTTTGCAGCTAAAAGATCCCTTTTCTTCGCTTCTCTACTTCTTCACTACTGTACTTCTGCCTAAATAGTAGTTCTTAATTAGGAGTGGGTGGGTGGCTATGTGCACGTACTAGCTTTAAATATCCCTGATATTTCCAGCCTAGCTTCTTAAGAATCAGGATTGTCTTTTATTTGTAGCAATGACAACAGGACTGGTCCCCAGTAGGTGTTCTAAGACATTTGTTGCATTGACTAATACATTTGGTAAGATACAGAATTGGAATAGGCAAGAAATTCACTGTATTTTGCAAATTAAAGTCAGACATAAAATTGATATCCACCTATTACAGCCAAAGAAACATGACAATGTGAAGAGTTCGTGATTTGAGCCACTTTCAGTATCTTTTTAATTGCATCAGCAACATACCACGCAGTCATTTTATTTTGATCAATTGCAATATTTATCAGACTTCATGCCATTGTTAACGTTCACTGTATTTAGTATTATTATAAATCATCAAAGTGTAGTAGCGTGAATGCCAGTATTGAACACCTAATATCTCTGGATTATTGCCTTACCTCTATAAAGCTGTCCCATCATTATCAAAGTGGAAATTATTAAGAAATAATGGAAATAGTTCTATAGAACTCCTTGATGTTCTGGGATAGACCCATAGCTTTAAATATTTACTTACTTTTCATGACTTTCCCAGTTGTGAATATTGGGTGTTTCAGATTATTTAATCAGTTTTTAAAATATGAAACATTTTGCTATAGAAACAATAGTTTATGGAGATACTAGGCTTCTATACCAGCCCATAGTTCTTATTCATCCCACATATAACTAGAACATGGTATTAATAGCCAGCGCTTTGATCTTGGATCTTGGGAGCAGACTTTGTGAGATAAAAAGGAAGGGGGGAAACAACTATACTGAGCCCGTGGCTCAGGTAAACTATGAGGTAAACTATGATGTTTTCCGGCATCCCAAGGGTATCTACATTAACATTACCTATTACCTCCTTTCCTCCACTTCAGACCAAATTCCTCTTTATTGATGATCTGGGATTATTGTGCATGGGCCATTGGTGTGTTTGAAGCTTGTCATGGAGTACAGAACATTTAACATTGGATTTGATTTGTGAAGTAGACATTATTTTTCCCATCTTACTGTCATATAGGGAGGCCCGCCCAGAAGGATTAAATAACATGGAAAGACTTGCTCGTGTCCAGTGGCACGTAAGCAGTAGAGCCAGATTCTTTCACTACAACAGATTCTCTGTTGTGTTCACCAAGTGAAATAAATATCTCATAGGCATTTTTTGGTAATCCTTAAATTTTAGATTACTCAAGTATTCCTTATTCTTTGGGGCTTCAAAGAAAAGAAGAGTATTCAAAGAAGTGTAATTGTCACTAATTATTTTCTGGGTTCTTGCAAATTTTTTAAGCTCCCAGAAAATGTATGCACATTTTTGTGTGCCTTTTTCTAGAGAGTGTGAACTAGCTCCTAATAGATGTTTGAAGAAGTCTGTAAACCAAAAGAACCTCTGCTTTATTGTATATCATTTTAATAGCAGAATCCTACTTATTTTATAGGTTTTAGAAGATGCATCTTATTATTTAGTCTACATTTCATGTTTTGAAGTGTATGCTTAGGGGCTTTTACAATGGCTAGGAATCTGCTTTACATAATTGTACATTCCATCTTTACTCATACATTTTGTGTTTTCTAAACTTTGAAAAATAGGAACACAGCCTATTGGTTCCCTAGGCTCGATCTCTCCTAGTAGTTATGGAAGTATAAAAGATTTGTGCACTGCACAATTTGGCTTCAAACATTTTCTTCATCTTCTTCCTAATGAAGCAACTATCTGCAGCTTGCTGCTCTGCAACAGAAATGACACTGCCTGGGATGAGCTGAAGGTAGGTAACAAACCTTCCAATTCCACTGTCTGGGGGCTTAGGCAGGGATTAAATAGTTGAGCAGACACAATAGTTTTCTTCACATAGGTGAACTATGCATTTTGTTTTTCATAACTTTCCTAGGTGATTTAGGAAGCAACAAAAAAAATGAGAAAATTAAAGTCACAAGTAAGCTGATGTAATTGCCTATGATTTTACAGTAGACTTGGCAAGTGGTACCAGTTATTATTTCTAATATTTACAAGCAATCTAAAGTCCTTGACGTGAACTTTTCTTAGTAATTAACTTGAATTGTGTACACCTTGATGCTAATGTATATTAACAATTCACTTAGGAAATGAGTTCCCCAGCCATACCCATCATCCACCTCTTAAGCGTTTGTTGTTTTCTACCAGCAATAACATGTACAACTCTTATGTAACAGAAGTGATAACCTATGGTATTGGTCACAAACTTGATTCATATGTACTCAAGGATATATCCTTGGTAAATATGAAAGGGCTCTTTTTATTTTTTTATTACTACTGGGTTGTAGCTGTATTATTTCCCTAGCAACTTGAAATAAATCCTATAGCATGTATTCAGCTCATTTATTTAGACTGAAATAATTTTTTTGGAAGAAATACTAGCAAACCTTGCTGACCCAGTTTTTTTGAGGACATCCATTTTGTCAATCTCAGTTTGAGGAGCCAAGTGCATATGAAAGATGATATTAATCTGGCCCGTGGAAACAAACATCTGGCTAAAGTATTTTTCTTTAATCTCTAATTTTTATTATCCCAAACTGTATTCATTGCATTGCAACCTTGGCAACACAAGTTTTGTTCTTTTGCAATTAAAATCTGGCTCTTAGAGTCTACTATCTAAGTTCCCTTGAAAACATGGTTATAGTTCTTTGCGTATCTAATGTCAATGTCTGGTTTTGATGAGTCATCTCTTTTTTAGCTCGCATGCCAAACAGCACTGCATGTTTTGCAGTTAACCATCAAGGAACCGAGTGTTTTGTTGGGAGGTGGCTGTACTGAAACTCATTTGGCAGCATATATCAGACACAAGGTAGGTTACATAGTCCTGCTCAGATTATCTGAATTCTCAGCGACATTTGTTTTATGAGATAATAAACCAAATCATAACACCGTGGAGCTTTTAATGCTTAATTTCTCAGAAGTCTAAATCAAATATTGTGTTTGAAAACACGTGAGGAAAATAACATTGCAAATATAAGGTAATATCTTTAGCACAGTGATTATTATTAATCCAGCCCTTTACCAAATGATCACATTCTTTGAGTATTGTCTAAATATTACATGTTGAAATAAGCATTCTGTTAATGGGAGTTGTACTAGAAATTTCAATTGCTGTGGTCCAATAATAATTGATATTCATAATAAAAGCATTAAGATTCTACAGAATACTTCATACCTTCTGGACTATCAAGAAAAGACTTAATTTCATTTAATAAAGCATTCCAAGTATTAGATTCTATTATGATTTTTAAAATGTTTTTAAGTTTATTCATTTATTATTTCTGAGAGAGAGAGAGAAAGGCTGCAAAAGCACTGGAGGGACAGAGAGATAGGGAGACACAGAATCCAAGGCAGGCTCCAGGCTCTGAGCTGTCAGCATACATAGAGTGCAGTGCAGGGCTCGAACCTATGAACTGCAAGATCATGACCTGAACCGAAGTCAGACGCTTAACTGACTGAGCAACCCAGGCACCCCAGATTCCATTATAATTTTTAAATTGGTATCTATTTATGATATAAATTCTATCAAATAGAATATTTTTTATTCAGGAAATTCTATGTCCTGATAATAGATAAATTTCGTCCGTTATGGTTCTGATTTTTTCATAAATGCTGACTTTTTTTTGAAAACAGATACAAAAAGGTATCTGTTTGCCACATATTTGCAAGTGATTCTTTGATTGGTCAGGAGTGTTATGAAGAGGCTGAAGAGCTCTGTTGGCTGACTAGGATATAGAGAGAATACACAGTTTTTACACATATGCCCCACCCTACTTCCCAAAATGGTTTAAAATCTAAATGTTATGAGAATATACATTACGGAAAACAAAATCGGTACCCATCTATTGATGCTGAATGTACAATAATATAGTCTGCAAATGGGATTGAGTAAACTAGAAAAAGGTTTTTGGAGGAGAAAGGTTTTCAAAGAAGCATTCTGAAGAAACAATACAGTATTGGAAATCTGGGGAAAGAACATACAGTAGAGGCAGTCTTACCTGGTTCACACCTCCTGGGCAGAAAAAGAAAGTAGCCACTGCTTTGAAGTGGGTTGGATATGGGTTTTTAAGTATCGTTCAATTATTAGTTTGCTAATATATTACTTTTTCTATCATGAAATTTCTAGGACAAACTTTAAAAAAAATCTTTTTTTAATGTTTTCTTTATTTTGGAGAGAGAGAGAGAGAGAGTTAGAGAGACAGCATGAGCAGGGAAGGGTCAGAGAAAGAGGGGAGACATAGAATCCGAAGACAGGCTCCAGGCTCTGAGCTGTCAGCACGGAGCCCAACACAGGGCTCGAACCCACGAACCGTGAGATATTGACCTGAGCCAAAGTCGGACGCTTAACCGACGGAGCTACCCAGGCACCCCTAGGATAAACTTTTTTAGAACAGTGAAACAAACGAAAAATGTCTACCTCTCATTAATTTAAAGAGATTGTTTATTTAAAAACCTTGATGTGAAAATTGCCCATGTCCCTAAATGGCTTTTGTCTTAATAAGAATGATGTTTGTTCTCATTTTAAACAAATCTCAAACAGTTGCTAACTATAAATACTTTATTTGGGCATTAGCCTTCAGGAGCCTCCTCCTGTGTGTATGAAAACCTATAATATATGTGTTATGCCTTGTCCTTCATGTATTGAGGAGACACTACCAAGCAGTCATTCATAGTAAGCTGACGATGGGGTTTATTCTGATTCATTCTTTCTGATAACATGACTAGCATATATTTATACTATAACTAACCAGATTAAGGGATTATAGCCTGGCCAGCTGACCCATAGTTGCCCATTAGCATCCTGCTAACCCCCTACGGAAATTGAACACAAGGAGTAACTTTATGATAAAGGTTTGATCAAGTATTTTATCTTTCAGAAACATTTTTATAATATTGCTCTGTATGTGTTTTCAATGGTTTGATTACTCTAGACTTGTAACGAGCCCGAAAGCATTCTCAAAGATGACGGGTGTACTCAGACAGAACTTCTCCTCCTCACGGATGCATTCTGCAGTGCGCTGGAATCTGTTGCTGGCTCTTTAGAGCATGATGGAGGTGAAATTCTTACTGACATGAAGTATGGACACTTTTGGACCGCCCAGCCAGAGTCTCCCTCTGTTGTCAACTGGCCAGATTTGCTTTCAAGATGTGGCTGTGGACTATATACTAGCCAGGAAGAACTCTGCTGGTCTTTCTTAAAGAGTACTCTTCATTCCTTTGCACCGCAAACCTGCCTTCCACATGAAGCTGTGGACTCAGCCAACAACCTGACCTTGGACTGCTTTACTGCTAAGCTTAGCGGCCTGCAGGTGGCTGTGGATACAGCCAACTTGATTTTGGATCTTTCATATATCATTGAAGATAAAAACTAACAGGATAGCATGTTTATATTATAAAAACCAACAAAAAAAAAAACCTAGTCTTGTAGTCAGTTAAGGAAAATATTGAGCATATTTTTTCTCTCCAAAGCCCTCTTCTGCATATTTGGAGAGATTATTCATGAAATTATAGATATATCATGAAAAAAGTATGATTCGCAAATAGAAATACCATAGAACATTAAAAACATGAAGATAATTAAAGATATTATAGTTATCTTAGGAATTCCACAGATGCCACTGTATGTGTCCTAAATTTTTGTTGTTGTTGTGACATCATTCTAAGAATATACAGAAATCAAAAAAAAAAACTTCCTAATCTATGCTGTAGTTTGGTTATACTTATTATATATAGTTTTTAGTTTGTAGTAATCACTCATGTTTTATGTATAAAATTAGATTCCAAGGTATCACAAAGCACCCAGTACATATTGCTCAATCAGAAGAAATACTCAAACTGCACATTTAGTAAAATGTCAGTGTTCTTTATCTGAAGCTGTATCATTTAGTGGGTAAGTAACTGAGGTTGAACCTGGCCTACCTGTGATTTTTAGTTTGTATCATTTGTGTCATTTCAAAGAACTGTGTAGCTAGGTAAAAAAAAAAAAAAAAAAAAAAATACATATACAGTAACTAAGAAGCATAAATAAAAAATACAATAAGTTATTTCTATAAAGAAATAAGTGGAAAAGTTATTTCTCTAGTTCAGTCAGTAGTACAGNAAAAAAAAAAAAAAAAAAAAAATTACATATACAGTAACTAAGAAGCATAAAGAAATAAGTGGAAAAGTTATTTCTCTAGTTCAGTCAGTAGTACAGAGATGATACCAGAACAACTCTTATATTCAAAGTAGAGAAATTTATGTTTCACCAAGGAATATAATTTGAATTGCATTCCTTGATAAATTCATATGCAAATGCAATCAATGTATTGATAAATTGAAGAAGAAATACAGAATGCAGCTTGAGGAGTAAGAATTGAGCTGTAACATGTTATATTAAACCTTAGGAAAACATTTGAAAATGTGGGAAAATTAAACAACATTAAGAATCAGATCAGATTTGTAGCCATGATAGAAGGAGAGAGTGTTTTTAATCCATTTCCTCCTATATTCTTGTAAGGAAAATAATATGTACCCTGAGCCAGAGAGAAAATTGCAGTACAAACACAGTAATGCAACGTAAGACTATAAAAACTTGGCTGCACCTTATGCTTCATAAAACATTCTTTAAATTTTTACTTCTTTTATTATTAGAGTCAAATAGAAGGACAGTGTGGTAGGCAGCTTCGAGATGGTCCCTAGACCTCTCCCAATCCTGGTTTTCAGGCCCTTGCACAGTCCCCTCCCCTTGAGTATGGGCTGGATGTAGAGACCTCTGAGTGTCCATTCCCCGCCTTGTGAACAGGAATGTCTTATTGCAGTTCTCCTATGCTTGATCCATCATTGGATGTTGGGCCTGGGGAGCAGGTGACTTGTCCCATTATCTTCATGGGCTTACAGATAGAGAGGAGCTGTATTCCAGAAGCTATACTTTAAGAATTACACCTGAGGACCTTGGCCCAGCCTGACCTGATGTCAATGATAAGATTCTGGACTTCAAGCTGGTGCTGTAATAGGATGAAACTTTTGGGAATCTGGGGAGTGTGTGAATGTATCCTGCATGGGATGGGCAGCCTCTCAAATGGCCTCTATGATCTCACTCCAGGGTGTGCATGGGACCTAACAACTAGCTTTTAATGAGTACACAACAGAAGTGATAGGATGTCACGTTGTAGAAAGATGGCCTTCTCTCTTGATCTCTCCCTCTCTCACCCTGATAGAGGCTACTGCAGGCTTGAGAATGCCTATAGAGAGACCCACGTTGTAAGAGACAGAGGCTTCCAGCCAGCAGTCCGTAAGGAACTGAATGCTACCAACAATCATAAGAATGAATTTAGAAGCACATCCCCCTAGTGGAGCCTCAACAGTAGCCCCTGTCACTGCAACTACTAGAGAGACCCTGAAGCAGAGAATGTAGCTAAATTACTCCCAGATTGGTTCCTGACCTACAAAATCTGTAAGATAATAATGCTTAAGTCAAGTCTTGGCTGTAATTTGTTATGCAGCAATAGACATCTAATAAAGGCAGGAGCAAAGGCTTATTTATAATTGCATCCTGAAAGTTTGGTCACACAATGGCAAAAAGCATTCTTGATGTCATGCCTCTGCGTGTTCACCATCACTACAGACATAAAGGCTGTGTTCCTTATCATACATGCTCACAATGGGGGTTTTACATTTACTTAAAGTGTTTCACATGGGAATAGAATTATCCTTAGTCTCCCTGACCTTCTACTGCATTTCCAAGTTACTCTAAAAAGGGATGTCACACTGAATCTCTCCAGTTGATCTTTGAGGTTAAGAGCCTCCACTTTCTGGGGCACCTTGGTGGCTCAATCGGTTAAGCAACCAACTTTGGCTCAGGTCATGATCTCACAGTTCATGAGTTTGAGCCCCGTGTAGGGCCCTGGAGCCTGTTTTGTATTCTGTGTCTTCCTCTCTCTCTCCCCCTCCCCCCGCACACTCTGTCTCTCTCCCTCCCTATTTAAACAAATGTCATAAATTTGTTTAACTTGTCTAATAAAGTCATGTTTCCTGAAGCTGTGTACAATCCTTACTAGAAAATACTGAGAGTAATTTAAAAAAAAAAACTTTTGTAACAGTTTAAGGAAATCATTCAAACTCAGATGGTAAAATATGAGATGAAAACTCTTGATGAAAATATTTCAGAGGAGCTCATTTTGACAGAAATAAATGACAAGAAAAAACAGCAACTAAGTTAAGCCTCAGACTGTGTTTTGGGACTTCAAGTAAGATTGAGGTCTGAATATCGCATTACGAGGTTCCTCAGGAAACCCAGATGGCTACAAAAAAGGAAGGAGAGAATGAAGCTCAAGAGAAGGAAGTCAGTGACAGCTGCTCACGACTTTTGTGGGACTTACAAGATGTGTAGCATTCAGGTTTATTTAACCATAGTTGTCCAAGAGGATTAGCATCTTAAAGAGGTTAGGATTTTGGCTGCAAGGAAAAAGTTGGAAAACGAAAGCAAATTCAAGGAATCTTCTAAGTCAAAAAATTTATTTGGTTTTATAAATACCTTAGTCCTTAATTCTTCCATTTGTACTATATTAAATAATCTCTACTAATACATAAAGATATTATAAATCATTAGAGTGAAGTATTTCCCCCAGTATGTTTAAATTGCATATTACTATCTTTTATTATCAGTTTCTTTGAGCTCACTTAATTTGTATAATAAAGCTAGTTAGGCATTTCATCTGATAGTAGAAAAAATTTAAGTACCTTTGTAAAATCCATCATATCCTGTTGAGCAATTCATTGAATAACTTTAAAATAAAACAGTATTGGGGCACCTGGGTGCCTCAATCAGTTAGTCATCTGACCCTTGACTTTGGCTCAGGTCATGATCTCATGGTTCTTGAGTTTGAGCCCCAAATCAAGTTCCATGCTGACAGTGCAGAGCCTGCTTGGGATTCTGTCTCTCTCTGTCTCTCTCTGCCTTTCCCCTGCTCACTATCTCTCTCTCAAAGTAAATAAAAATAAACTTTAAAAATATCTTCAAAAAATAAAACAATATTGTTTATAGTTATATAAACTATGCAGGTTATGAAGAGAATCATGTACAAAAATCACTCATAATTAATGCAGGCCCTTCAAACATCCAATTAGTTATTCATTACTTCCTGATAATCTTGGGGGAATAGAGAAGGAGACTAAACATCTCTTACAGGGCTTTCTTTAACCTGTCTAAATAAATCTATCTGTTAATCTGAAGGAAAAGGCAAGCTTGAACATGTGGTACCTTTATAATTATTTTTATCATGTAGTTAATTGTTCCCACTTAATAACTAGTATCCCATAATCCTTGGAAATTTTTGCCACTTACCTACAAAACTTGAGTTTAAAGGTATCTAAATCAAATGTCAGCTTGTATCTTTGGATTAGAAGTAAATATTATTACTATTTATTAAATATATTATAATACTCATAAAAGTGAATGCAGTCCCTGAAAACTACCCCTATGTATAGATCAAGCCTTTTGTTCCAGTAAAAAGCACTAAAAGCAGTGCCATGCCATTACCTGTAATAAATTGTGACTCTAGAGGGAAATCAATCAACTTGATAATTTCCTATTAAGAAATCAAACAGAAAATATTTATAATGAACATCCTAGTTTAGCCCTGTAGCTTTTGTTTGAAGTATTATGATTTCATTTTGAAAAGCGTTAAGTGACTTCTTTTTGTTTGCGAGACACAACAGTCAATGGTATTAGAGGTTTAAAAAAAAAAAAATAGATTTATTCACAGTTCCTGACCTCAAGGAGCTGATAACCTAGCCAGTGAGACTTTTTCTTTAATACTATTTTTCTTTCTTAAAAAAGCAATTGTATAAAATTATTTCATAATCATTTAAATCATTAATAAACATCATGTGGCAATAGAAAATTTGAAAATGAATCACACACAAACAAGGAAAATAAAGTCAAATGTAGTCCCACTACCCAGAAATAACTACTGTTAATATTTTATATGCATCTTTTTAGTTTGTTTTCTGTATGTGCTTTTCCAAAATGTAGTAACACAATATGTTGTTTTAGAATCTGTTCCTTTTACCTAAGATGCACATCATAAAAATGTACAATCACTACATCATGTTTAATTCCTAAAGAAATTTCAGTTGTAGAGATTCTACCATAATTTAGTCAGTGAGCTTTTATTAGTATACTTTTAGGCTGTTTTTAATTTTTGTACCAATATAAACAAAAATTCAGTGAACATCTTATATATAGCCTTTTCCCATATCCTGATTATTTACTCAGGATAAATAAATAGGATTATGATTTCTGGGCCTAAGTGTTTATTTGAAATGGAAAGACTATATTAATGTACATTGTCTTAATTATTAAGTCTTCCAGAAATGTTGCATCAAAATACTATGACCACAGTGTGTAGAGGTACTCATTTTCCTGAACTTTGGCCAACACTAGTTTTTTTTGCCAACTTAATAGCTGAAAATTGACTCCTTTTAATAATTCATATTTTTAAAATTATTAATGACATAGACACTTTTATACATTGTTGGCCAATGTTATCCTTCTTTAGTAAATCTTAATAGGTCTTCCATGTTTCCTATCAGTAAGTTCATCTTTCTCATCTATATTTATTTCCTCATGAACATTTTAAAGATATGTACATATCAAAGAGGTAAGTTTTTAAAGCAAATGCATAACCTTTCTTCAGAGTGTCAATTTTCCGACCAGCTGCACATGCCCAAGTAAACGTGGCACTGTCTTAATAGCACAGTTTCTATTGATTTGTACTCACAAGCAGCAGCCAAACACCTGTGCTGTATGAAGAATTTAAAATAGTGGGCAAACTATTGTCCCTGCCTCTTAATACCATCTAACCCTGTGATAAAGCACACTGTATGACTTGGGTAGGGCTGCCACAACAAATTACCACAAACTTGGTGGTTTAAAACAAGAGATTTAGTTTCTCACTGTTCTGGAGGCTAGAAGTCTGAAATCAAGATGTTGTCAGGGCTACCCTGACTACAG